GTTTTGCCATGTTGTCACAAGCTGTTACTTATACACGTATTGCAAAGAATTAGAAATCTAATGTTAAAATCCATACTATACAATGTTTCTGATTTAACGTGATAAACATATAATGCTAGCATTATTAGCACAATGGCATCAAAACTATATAACCAGATAGATAACACACTCCTAATTTAAAAGTTCTGGCAATGTAATAAAACAAAAGGATGATTTTTTTCAATCTGTCTGTATACAGTCTGGTAAATATAGCGGAAATAACAGTACAATTATGTACTTTAAAATATTTGACGCTATATTTAACATCCGAGGTTAAATAAAGATGATGCATCAACTGAAGTGGAAGACACATTCATCGATCTGCGTGTTTTGTTGCGAAATGAAAAAAGATTTATGGTTTTACATTTTACAATTTTGCCGTGTTGGGCTTTCTTTAGGGATTCTGTATTTCTCTATTTTATTACATATACCACAAATATAACAAATTAGAAACTTGTATACAAGAAAAGAAAGAGAAAAAAAAAGAATCTGCATCGGAAGTGAAATGATCAATAAAAGAAAAATTCTGTTTTGCTTACTGCTAGAAATTCAAAAAATGCAACCAGTATTAGAACAAGTCCAATCCATGTTGTCATTTAGTGATCAAAATACGACCACACAATATATGTAAGGTATAACGAACGAGTGTGCAGCTGCCATAACATATATTGATTAAAGTGAATTATGTCAAACAAAATATTAAACACATATTGAAGAATCGGGTTTTGGTTAAAACAAAGCCATTTTCTGTTCCCTCTAGTATTTATAAACCCTGTCTCTCATTAACGTGTATAATAGCGAAATGTAATAACAAAACTGAATCGCACCCCTCAACTTAATAAATTCATGACTTCAACTTTACGAATTCGTGAAAATGAAATTGGGAATTCTTGAAGACGAAATCGGGAATTCATGAAGTTGAAATGTCCCCGATGGTCTTTCGTAAATATTTTAACTTGTAAAGTGTTCAGGCAATTTTCTAGCCAGCTATTTTATCTTGATATCTCCCATTAACGTGTTCTATTACATGTTACATGTTTTTAGTTTTTTGACCGGTTTTATGGTCAAGTATACATAATTGTAAGCTAATATGACCAGAAAGCGAGGAAAGAGTAGTATTATATTAAAAAGCCATTTAAGCCAGGAACGAATAAGTGTTTCCATCTTTAGAAAGGACAAACACGAGTTTTATAAATAAAAGATAATGGTTTTAGAGCAAGTAAGGTAATCAGTACTTTAATAAAGTAGAACTGAATGTGAAATTTTTTGTTTGTAGGGAAACGTAAACTAAGTAGTATTTTGACTTTCATACAAAATGCTTAATCACACGTTCGTATACAATGAAATTGAAAACAGTACAAATTGACATGTACACGTTCTAATTTTTCTTCTCTTTATTATTTTAATTCTTAAGTTTACGACCAACGCTGATATCATCGCAACTTGTCGGCCCTTTCCGTCTATCTTCGGATTACGAATAATCGTTGAGGTGTTTCGATTGCGCCGTGAAGTTAATTAATCAATACAAATCCTAGCAGGTGCTTTCTTAAGACAGTGCATGTTTATTGCAATTCTATGAATGTGTAGCACGACATTGTTTTCTTGAACAGGAAAAATAACGAACAGGAAAACAATGTCTGTATCATTTAAACATTTATTACAAAACAAAATCTATTTTTCCTTTTAAAATCTTATTGGAAAAGTATAATTATATTTGCTAATAAAAAATACATAGTGAATACATGTGAAACTGAATCAGCGGGTAGAACTCAAAGCGATACATTCGTATATTTACATCTTAACATCCTCCACCCAAAAAAGTAACCCAAATACATACACAAAAAGACAAACTTAATTAAAAAACTAATAACAGATCCTGGCACCTTGGGTGGTTGTAAAGTGACTGCATAAACAAAAAACAAAATATATGGTATCAGAATTTTTAGATTAAAACATTATGTTTAAATTTCAGTCTAGTTTCAATATTTCTACTTGTATAATGTATATAATATCTATGCATTTTGCAGTTATCTATTGTTGGAAACTACGACATGTTAACAGCTTTTGATTTATTTCTCTTGTGTTTCGCGACATTTGGTGAATGCTTTTCACCAGTATTTTGCGTGATTATAAAACTGATATATTAATTAATATAAGGTAGCAATATTTTTTTTGTCAAATTATATAAACTGTAAAGATTCTGTTTAAATGGGACACAATTAACGAATGGTTAAACCAATGACTTGAAATCCTCACCTTAACTGTTTCTTTCTTATGAGTCCCGCTAGGAATAATTTTATGTTAGGAACCTACAAGTATAGCAAAAGAAGGCCCACATATGCCTGTACTAAAGTAGGAAGGTATTCCTCCATAAGTAAAAATAACAACTTATCAAATGACCAAAAGTTACATGGTCGTTGTAATTGAAAGCTGTACCAATTTGATTTTGATATATCTAGCTTTACGTTGCTTTATACGTGGTCTTTTTGCAATTGTGTATAAAGATCCATTTTTTTCAAATTTTCAGACCGAATCCATTCGATTCTGAAATTTATGCATGTCACTCTGTTATTGTTGGTTTCTTGGGTGTAAGTACATGTAATTGATTCTGGAACAAAATATAGTCCTCAAAAATAACTAAAAACTGAAATGTAATTTTATAATCCTTATGTATTTATTTACGGCCTTATACTTCTTTGACAGAAGACATACCTAATCGTAGTATATTATGTTAGAGTCTTAAAAGCCTTATCAATAAGCCCCCCCCCCCCCCGATTTATTAAGGATTTTGCTGTAGGGAAAAATAGATTTATAAGGTAGTCTAGTGAAAATCTCTGTTTCGCCATGTAGACTCAAGTTGTTTTTAGTATAACAAAAAATTAAAAATCTAATGTTCAAAACAATTCTGTACAAAGCGTCTGCTTTAACGTGATACAGATAATGCTAGCATAATTCATCAACTCTATATAACCAGATAGATAACACGCTGCTTATACATACGTTCTTATTTAAAGGTTCGTCTGGCGGCCGACGACAATGACTGACAATGAAAATAAAACAAAAGTATGATTTTATCATTGTATAAAGTCTATATATAGTCTAGTAAATATAACTGGAATAACAATACATATATGTTTTCAGAATGTTGTATCAAAATATATGACGCTATATTAAACAACCGGGGTTAAGGACGATACAGAATGTATATGCATAAACTGGAGAGGAAGATACAATAATCGCACGTTTTTTTTTCTGAAATGAAACATATATTCTACTGGTTTTATTTCTATTACTTCAATTTTTGTAGCAAAAACTTGTATTCAAGAAAAGAAAGAAAAGGAAATGTAAGAACGAAAGAAAATCTGCACCGGCAGTGAAATGATCAATATAAGAAAAATTGCTTCGCTTACTGCTAAAAATTAAAGATGAATGCAATACTAGAACTTATCAAATCCATGTTTTCGTGAGTGTAAATTAACTATATAGGAAAAACAAATATGATAGGTACTTCTATAAAATGGAGTGTAAGGTTGCCATAAGGTTAATACATCTATATTGACTTAACTTAATAAACACAACAAAAACAACAAACTGACATTGAATAATTGGGATGAAGATAAATTATCAGAAGACGACCACACACTATATGTAAGGTATAACAAATGAGTGTACAGCAGCCAAAGCATCTATTGATTTAAGTAAATAAGGTCAAACAAAATAATAAACTAATATTCAATAATCAGGTTTTGGTTAAAACAACGCGATTTCCAGCTCCCTATAATACTTATGTATCCTATTTTCTCTTAAATGTGTATAATAGCGAACTGTTATAACAAAACAAAACTGAATTGCCTCTCCTTCACTTAGATTTTCTGCTCCTCCACTTTTGGTTGTCAAAACATTTGGATTTTGAGGGAGCTTCGTTTTGTGAACACTAATCAGTCTTCCTTATTTTCATATTAAAGAACGAAAGTTTTGACATTATTTACTTCTGCAGGCTGAATGACAGACATACATCTATTCAAGGTTAAAATGAGTGTAACGACACACACGTCACAAACCTGCTGAATGATATCTTTTTATAAATCGCAGTTCGTTGAAGATATGCTTGTTTTATTATGGAAGTTTCCAAGTAATCGCTGTTATGATTGTAAAGCAACGCTTTGTCTTACTTTATGTTAACATTTTATGTTAACAACTCAAAACCATAAACAATTGCATTATGTTTGTTTCGTATCTGTATTCTTTGGTGTTCTCATTCTATGAGAAAAATATATGAGGCCCTGTCTCGTTTTCTGTTTGATTCATAGACTAAAAAATCGAAAAAAGATTTCTCAATATCCAGTATAGACGACTGTCCGTCGTATTTAAAGGGACTGCGCTGAAGGAGTTGACTGGAAATAATTTCCGAGATTTGTATACCAATTGTTGAGGGCATAGACCAATAACTTGTGTACAAATTTTCAGGCCTTTCACTCAGCTCGTTTCTCCAGAAAAAAAATATTGTGCAGAATGAGGCAAAAATGCTTTAAACTCAATTCAGGCTAAGAATTCAAGAATCGATGTTCAGTTTAAATATATTTCCAGAATTGTGAGATAGAAAAAGTAAAAAAATGGTAGTATTGTGCCAAAGTGTTCCGATGCGTCTATTATACTTTATAACATTTTTAGGACATGGAGTCTCAAACTAATGTAACATGTATCTAACATCACCTCTTTCTTGTTCTTAATTGTTATAAACCTTATATTTGCATACCATTCCAAATTTATATGCATTGTCACTAAACATGTCGGAAAATAATTCAGGGCCTCTCATTTTGATATGTGCATTCATTCATTGAGGCAATCGATGTTGACAACACAGAGAAGCAGAACTCTTATCCATAAAAAATATGCGTTTTTACATGCATTTAAACTATATAAACCACGAGAAAACGGGGATATGTTATTGCTTGGACCAGGTTACCCACACCTAAAGGTAAGTCTGTTTAACAATTTACTTTTACATTTGTTATTTAACTATGAAAATTTGTAAATTGCAAATTATTTATTACATGGATGGCTGTATTTCAGTTTGAAAATATAAGTGATATCCATATTATTACAATTAGTTGAGAAGGAGCCTCTGAAGATGTTAATGATTTGTACTTTAAATACTTTTAATTGTACCCTGATGAAGTGCTTCATCTCAGTCTTTCTATATTTTCTGGACCTTCGGGATCATTGATTCTCATACATAACGTAAGACAGGCCGGTATCTGTGTGTTCCGGATTTTTATTTAAAAACAATGTCAGCAATGTAGTTATATCACTTCACTTCACGATACTGACAAGCTGTAACACCATAATGTTTTGTCGACAATTGTTTAGATACGTTATTGCTTTCAACACAGTCCCTGAATTTCAGTTTTGTCTTTTTAAGCGTTCTTTAGAGTGTCATTTTTTTTCTATTTTATTGTCATATCATCGTTATTTGTGCCATTCTGAGGTTATTAAATGCAATTTCTCATTCTTAAAAGTCGTTCAGCACAACTTTCATGTCGCGTTTGAGTGTTTCTAGTTCCTTCCATTGGTTGTTTGTAATTCTATTTGAATAATGTATAATCACCCTGTCTCAGGATATGTTGCATTCTTTTTATATTTGTCTTTTGACAACTTTTGTGGGATACGCTAGCTTCTTATCCTCTGATCACTTTTTGAAATTTCATGTCTGTAGTTTCCACTACGTTCAGGGCCCATTCTCTCTTTTACTTAGGGGCGATACGCCAGTTTTATGGAATGCGAATACGAACGTGTCACATTGGAGGTTTTCATGATAACCGTAGCATGCATACATCTGCGAATGTTTTTTTTAAATTACAAAATTGCATCATTTCATGTTTGAATGTTGATCCCGCTTAAAACTAATCTATGTGGACAGTCATCACATGTACTTACCACTATCATCCATGAACATGATTTATCAAACTGACCCTGCAACATTTTCTATGGTGGCATTGATGCCATTCTTTAGGGGATATTTTTTCCACTATTTTATCGTCATATCAGCTTTGTTTGTGCCGTGTAACGGCTGTAAAATGTCGCACACGGTTTATATATTATGATGTTGTCATTTCTTTTTTTTGCAGCAAAACATCCTTTATAAGTACAAAACAACTAGAAACAACAAAAGCAGAAATGTTTGTAGCTGTCTCAGTTTTGTTATCCATTGTTGGTACTTGCACTGTATATGCAGGCGGTAAGCATTTGTTATTACCTATTAACTTGCTGGGAGCGAATTTGATAAAGCCTTCTCCACCGGTATAAAGCCATGAATGTGCATACTTTATACTGCTGTAGATCTATTTTGTTATTGTTTCATAGCTTTGAGACATTTACCTTGAAATATGTCAAAGTAAAATCGTATACCCATACATGCACAATGCGTTAAATGGATTGCAGGTATTTGTTACGCGCACCCCAGTTACTGCACTGTCTGTGGGATATTAGAATAGAGCATGCTCATTGATTGGCTTACTTATTGTGACGCCAGGGAAAGGAATAACGATAGAAAATTCATATTCAGATGTTTGCACATTGGTTACTTCTTTCTTGGGTTTCTTTATTTTATTGTCACATCCGTGTTATTTGTGCCGTGTGGCGGCTGTAAAAAGTACTCCCCGTACATTAAATCAATGATGTTATATTTTCCATCCTTGAAGATCGTTCAGCACGACATTATTGTTGTGTATACATGTTATGTGGTACTTTTACTTTCTTCTATTTGGCCTTTTTCAACTTGGGTGGTTCCATTTTTCCTACAAGATCACTGTATAATCTTCCTTAGGATATGTTGCCTGCTTTTTAAATTTGTCTTTTGACGTCTTGTCTGTGATACGCACGCTTCATAACCTCAGATCCCCTTTCAAAATTCCATTTTTTTAATTCCGCCAATTGTTTTCTAGTTGGGGACCATAAGCCGCTTTTCATGGAATGGCACTACTGTGTCACATTGAAGGTTCCATGATAATCGCAGTATGAACACATCTGTGGATGTCTCTAAATTCAAACTTTCACCATTTTTCGTGTTTAAATGTAGAATTCTGCTTAAGCCGGTGCTAGGGGGGCGTGGACGGTTAGTTGTACTTTCCAGTACCGTCCATCAACATGCTCAATCAAACCAAGTCTGCAACATTTTCAATTTTGTCGCGTTGGGCTTTCTTTAGGGATTCTGTATTTCTCTATTTTCATATTGTGACAACAGGGAAAATGTTTTTATTTTTGGCTCTGATACAAAAGAGAAAAAAACAGCATCAATACAATCTGATTTAACTCGAGGGCTACGTTCCTTCGTACAAATCATATAGTCCCGTGTTCCGATGCTCCTTCTATTACGTAGAAATTAAAATCCCATAAATCTCAAATGGTTTGTTTACAACTCAAAGCATTGCAAATTACAATACGTACGCAATACATGGAATGTGTGTATAAATATTTTTATACGGGTACCGTTGGCCTAGTGGTTAAGGCGTCCGCCTTCGGATCGGGAGGTCAAAGGTTCGAGCCCAACAGGGAGCGTTTATTGCAGAATTAATGTTTCTCGTGCAATTCATTCTAAAATAGCCGCTTCGTGAGCCGCGAGGTAGTTAAAATGACTGGTTACCGATTTCTATCCGCCTGGCTCCTGGCATAGTGGTAGGAGTTTGGAGGTACATGGTATGCAAGCAATAGGTGTCTCATAAGTCAGAAATGGTTGCTCCTTTCAGTAGGGGTGACACTATAATAAACAAGACCTTTTTAAGGGTAAAATTTATATAATAATTGTACTTTCAGCACATACATACATTTATTTCTGTTATTGTGTTCATTGAACATCGCCTTTCATTTTTTATCTTGTTCATCATATTTTATATCCAAGTTTGGAGACCCTGTCAGAGTTGAACTAAATCGTAAACCCATAAATGCACAGAACATTAACTTGAATTCAGTATTAGCTACTGCTTTCTGTCGGGGATAAAAAAGAGCATGCTCGTTGATTTGTTACAATTTTTCCTGAGCTTTTCTTATTATAACGAAATTGTAAATATAAATAATTTTAACTAATTATTATAGAGATAAGGACCAACGTGGCATTTAAAAAACCATGTAAAATGTCGGAACAAGCTGGTGATAATCCATGTACGTACGGCAATGACGGCAACACGGAGGCTGGATCATGCTTTCAAACCAAAAGATCAGACAAAAACTTTTGGAGGGTGGATTTGGGTGATACTTATGAAATTGCCAAAATTAAAATATATAGCAACCTTGACGCTACAGGTAAACTTTTACCACTTACGCCGAGTAATTATCGCAATATACATGTACTAGCATCAAGGTGTATTTTTACATTCATTTGTATCCAATCGCTCCTTACTGACACGTGACGGTCACGCATATTTCCCACATTAGACATTGTTGTATCAAATATACTTAACCTAATATTGGGCAGTTAAGTGAGTGTGACCGATTCCATGAAATGTCAAGGATAAAGACCGTTAATGGAGAATATATCCGAGTAAAAGCGTCTTCGGGAGACGCACGTGACTGATAATAATATTTTATTTATCACTGTGTTTTCTCAACGTTTTTTAAATACATATTTATAGTCACTTGCTATCACTATGCTATGCTGTAAGCATGGTCTATATTCCTCAAGTTATGTTTCATAATTGTCAATAAAACATGCTGATAGATCTATCATTATGAAAGTCCCTCATTATCTTTGTTCAACAACAAAATAACGTGAAAAAAAATAGTATTATTAAATATAAAGACAGTTACCGTCTATTTCATCATGCTTTCTTTTATACATTTTGAGCAATTGAAATCATACCAATGATTTCCTTATTGTCAGTATCGAACTTAACATTAATGTAATGGATGAAATATTCATTTAACTTTTCAGAAAGATCAGGAAAATATATCAGAGTATTCATTGGCCTTGAAGAATCTGATGTATTTAGAACAAAAGTTGGCGATTTTCAAGACTTGTTAGACATTCAAATCATTGATCTACCTCCTGGTACAAAGGCAAATTATGTCACGATTGTCCAAACGGCACCAGAGGGAAATCTGCTGAAATTGAATCTTTGTGAAATTCAAGTCTTTTCACCTAATTCCTAATAACTAAGTAAGTAATTTCACGAAACTCAGTCATTTTACTTGACGTAGTAAATTCACCCAAGTTATTTCAAATTGCAAAGTAATTTCTCTTTACAAAGAAATTTCACCTTATAAACAAGGTTATTTCACATAATTAAGTAATATTACCCAAGTTATTCCGGAACTGTCATAATCATTTGTTTCAGTGAAGACATTAAATTTATTAACGTTTTGAATAATGGCATTTGATCCAGAAAATATTAACATCTAAAAGTTTGAGTAAATAAAAAGAATTCGTAAAAAGAATATGAGTCAATCATGTACTTACACGAACAACGTGTATTATTATCTAGTTATGCAGAAATGTGCAAAAGTAAAGCAAAAGTGAACAATTCTGTAGACGAAACAAGTACTATGGGAAGTAAATGAACCAATGTTTGTTTTACTGAACAATACGGTTGCTGAGATTTTATATCTCAAACCTCATCAAAGACATTTTATAAAATTTAAAGTTTTTATTTTTATTCGTGAAAATGGTCAGGCTATTGTAGTAAATGCCTTTTATGTTTTATCAGTATTTTTAAACACATTAACGCTTATATTACATTCTGGTTTTTGGTATTGACTGAACCTGAGAGTTTCGTGTAATATGACACTTACTTTAGCAGCTAAATGTTACGGAGATCATTCTAACGAGGTAATGCCGAATTCGAGATGCACTGAAGCAACCCTGGTTACTTCATTTAATACAGCTGAAGTATAACTTAGCTTCTCCCTTCTAGTACTAAAAGACACTAGTTGGTTTTCAAATGTCTATGGTAAACTGAATATGAATAAAGTTATTGTATTTATTTATTTCGACAAAAGTTGCTCCCTAAACAGTAGTCAGATTGCCAATTTCACCAATGATCTTTAAAAGTAAACATATTCTTGGACTTTTTAACTGCTAGTTGAAGTATGATATCAGAGCAGCCGTATTTCTTCAAAATGTTTTACGATGAAATATCTAAAATATTTGGTCCGTTTAACTTCCATTTTAAAATATCAAATTGTAAATCGAATCTGTAAACTAATATAACAACATTTAAATTTCAGATGAAGCTGCAGTTTTAACGAAAGAATTCAGACGTGTTTTTGACATATTCAACTGTTTTGAATAAAGTACAGAATCACATAAAGTATTGTCGAGTTTATTATGTTTTTTTAAAATGCTTTGTTCAAAACACCATACATTATATCAAGTTTTAAAAAAACGATAACGTTAGGCTGTAATCACTCCGTATCACAACTAGTTTGGAGTTCCTTCCCCCTTATACTACGTTAGGTAGCACTCCACAGTTAATTTCAAGTTCCTGCCGTCAATGTCCTACAAGCAATACGTCTAATAATTCTGATACCAAACTACACAACCTGGAAAAAGAAAACACATTTTGTTGAGAACATAAATGACATAAGATTGCAAATCTACAAAGAAATTATCCCATCTGCAATAGGCAGGCAGTCAAAAAAGTTGCAATTCATTCCGTTGAAGCCCAAAATCTTTAGTGGCCCGAGACCCAAAACAACACATTTCGTCCCTCTGGCCAAAAATATCTGCAAATATACAGGCTAAAGGAACACCGTCTCTGCTTTAGCAACTCCCTATACATGCAAAATATCACAAAGAAACAAGTCCTCAACCTTGTAGATTTTTTGCTACTGCTAAAAGTTTGTACCCCCCCTGTAAAATGACTTCTTTTTACCGTGCATGCTGTTTAAAAGCCATGTTTACAAAAAATGGCGGCCTTGACATACATAATCAACAGCATGTGATTTTTGGCCATGTTTTCGAATGTGCCAGTGATCATATTAGATGTCACAAAAACAAATTTCATGCTGAAAATGCATTTTAAAGACAACCAGTCATTTAAATCCAGAATGTTCAAATCACTATATCCAAGAAATCCTCCCTGGCCATTCGAAGCTGGGGCTTACATTACTGTGGTGTGTTACCTTATACATTCCTTAGTAAATGTAGACAGGGAACCAGACTTTATCACAACCTACATGGTTACCATCGTTACCTTTTTTATTTCATATGATACCTTGAATATGAGAACAAAATTTAAATGCCTTCCATAATGTGCTAATCTCAGTGAAAAGCAGGGGAGATAATAATTAAATAAGAACTATGTATAGAAAAAGGATAACGTAAATTTGCTATCATATTGATGTAAATCAAAGACACAAATCTCCCAGTGCAGCAAATAATCATACTGTGAGTAGCTGCTAAGTTTCTTTATATATCATAAACTGTAGGTCTAAAATTTCAAAATACAATCTAAAGATTTACTACATTAAATTTACACGCATGTGCTGGCTAGCCTAGAGATAAATGCCCATATTTCAAGGCCTCTAAAACAATGCTAACACTTTTATTCGATGAGGGCTGAAGGAATCAAATAAATCAAAAGTAAACACTGTCTTTACTGTTGCGACTTATATTGATAAACAAACATAAAAGCTACATCAAAAATATTTCATCTTGTCGCGACTTTTATCAATAAAAGAGCATCACTATGAAACACAAGGGAAGTAAAATTACGCGTGTACAAATGTAGTTATATCATACTTAGGGAACCTTTCTGCTGAAAATTTGTCAGAGTTGAGTTGAATGGTATACATATACATTCACAGTGCGTTAACTGGAGTGCAGATATAAGTTACTCTCACTCTACGGCGTGCCCATTGATTGGCTCATGTTTTCTTGGGTTTACTTTCTGTGTCGACAGAGAAGGAGGTAGCGATAAAGATAAGTCAAATTCATCAAATTCATATGCTCGTTCATTGGTTTTTGTCCAGTGTTTCATTATTATTGTGACAACAGGGTACGTGATTTTATTTTTGCCTATCAAACAAAAGAGGAAGAACATCAAACACCCGACAATCTGATATATACCCGGGGGCTATGCCCCCCTCGTACAAATTATATAGCCTCTTGTTTCCATGCTCTTTCTATAACTTAATTATATGAATTTGGAGCAAAAGATGTTTGGAATGTCACAAACGAATGCAAACCAACACATAAAAGTATGAAGATCCCTTTTGAAGGATGACCATAATTTAATATGTGACAATACGAAATAGAGTACAAAATGTATTCAGTTGAATATGTTTCCTTTTAAACATTTCATTTTGTACTACATCATTTACCTCTGAACGTCTCGCTTAAAATATTTTTTCTCAAAATATCACCCCCCCCCAAAAAAAAAAAAAAAAACAAAAAAAAAAAAAAAACAAACAAACAAAAAAACTGTCTGAACATCTTCAAGAAGCGCATGCATCAAAATCCTAATAGTATAACTAGGTGAAATATAGAATATTTGAAATTTAAAAAACAACACAATTGATCATCATGTTGAGAAACTAGACATTGGACAGATTTCTCCATGACAGGAATAAGGGACAAAAGAAAAGAAATGCATTACTGATCAAATTGTCTTTCGTCAGATAGTACAAAATGTAATTGCATTAAAATTAGTAAGGGAACTTATATTAAAAAGAAATTCGACATTAAAATTATAAAATAAAATCGTCATTTTGAAATAAACATTTACAGTATAAAAATTCAAAATTGCATGACAATGAAACATAAAAATTAATGTTTTTTTTTCTACTTCAAGTGAACACAGTTTTTTTCTGTTTAAATTATGTTTTCTCCATAAAATCACGAATATTCTTGGTTCATTGAATTTCACAAAAAACAACAGACAGCAAGAACAAATTTTAGCATAAGTCTGCCTTCATTTCTAATCAATTAAATAAAATTCCTGTTATAAAAACTGCTACGATAATGGATCATTCAGCTAGATGGAAGAACTTCAAAGGTTATATCGAGCTATTATTATCAAATCGAAAACAGAGCAAAAATACAAACTGGATTGGAATAATATGACCGACATGAAATGAATAGGGATGTTGAATGAGTGATAATTTAATTCTAAATTTATTGAACGAGTTGAATAAAATCATACTATGTATAATATTGTTTTATTCAACGAGTTCAATAAATTTAGTATTGAATCTACACGAATACAATATTTATTTCATTATGACATAACTAAAATAATAATGGTTTGCAGTTAAAAATGGTCATTTTTCGTTCTTACGTCTATAGTATAACGCAAATATTATAGTATAACGCCATCATTATATCAGATAATAACGTATGTCGATGTCGTATATTTAAAAAAATACACCCATTTTATTTGCAAAATTTGCAAAACCACCATATTAAAGAACAGTATTTCAACAATCAGGTATACCAGGAACAATTTCTACAGGAACTACTTTCTTGTATAATAGTACCTCTTTACAGACGGAGCGCAGTTTTTTCCGCAATTAATCATGTACGCGACATACACTGACTTTTCCATCAAATATTTCTACGCACGTTTACATAAAATGTCTCATCACACAATTGTCAATTAGCAATTACTGACTTACTTTCAGAGAAAAGCACCTGTCTCAAACTTTGATTGATTTCTCTTTACATGTATATCCAAATATTGATTTCAATATATCTTAGTTTAAGTTTGTTAAGATGTTTTGCTTTGCTCGACTTTGCTGTATTCTCAGTGTTGTTATTTTATCTAACTGACTTAACGTCTGAGAACATAACTAAATACCAAAACAAGTTAGGAATAAAAGTCTAATTTTTATACCATTTGAGAAATACAGTAAAAATAAAAGAATTTATATGTCTATCTCTCAACTATACATTGTTACCAATGGAAACTGTCATAGAAAGAAGTCGGAGGTAACAGTAGCACCTAATATCTTATACCTTGTAAATTGTTCAGGTAATTGTCTAGCTAGCTATTTCATCTTAATATTCCCCATTAACATGTTTGATTAGATTGTCTTGAGAGGTTATGTGGTCTAGTACATCATTGTAAGCTAATATGACCTGACATCTATGTAAGCGTTATATAATTGATGTAATAACCAGTCATTTAAAGGCACTTAATGCCTTAGAAACGAATAAATGTTTCTATTATTAGAAAGGACAATCAAGAGTTTTTATAGAATTATATTAGATGGTTATCACCTGCAGATATGGCCTTGAAAATGGAAAGTAGTAGTTTTGACTTTCATATAATATGCTAAATCACTGTAACCGTGCTAATTGGGGGAAAAAGCGACGGAAGCAAGAAACGGTTCAGGTATTTGGTCAGTGAGTACATTTCTGGAAACCATAAGGACACCACGCAATCTGACTAATGTTTAGATCTACTTATTTCTTACATGCGTAGCGTTATTTAGGAACTGCCTATAATCAAATTGGGACACCACATATAAAAAGCGGCTCGAGTTACATTTCCAGACAACCGTTTATATAGGGACATATAACCTGTCAAAAATCTATATAACTAATATTATATAATACTGCACGTGTGTCACGTCAAGTTTATATAGATTTATATACACGGCTGCTGTCAATTTATGAAGAAATCCCACTTTTCTCTAAAAATGACGCTTGCTGTATAATAAATTCGTATTAAATGTTTCTTACAGATTATATGACCGTATATAAACGGTTGTTTGCAATATATAGTTTCAAATTACCGTTTATATACGGCCATATAACCTGTCAAGAATCTAATAATATAAACGTCAAAATTGTCCATTGCAACGTGCAGTATTATTATACGTTGTAGTTAAACACTGTACATAAAATTACATCACAATTTTTTCTGATGAAATTGAAAGTTGCCCAATGAAACGAAAAAGTACCACTATAAAAGTTCACATGTACCCATTAAGAGTTCTATTTTTTTCTCTTTATTATTTTAATTTCTTAAACGACCACGCTGATATCAATCGCAACTTTTCGGCCGACGCTGTTCCGATTGGTCGGCCCTTTCCGTCTATCTTCGGATTATGAATATTCGTCGCTGTGTTCCGATTGCGCTCTTATCTGAATATTAATTTATCAATCAATACTAGTCCTGAACAGCAGGTGCCTTCCTAAGACAGTGCATGTTCATTGCAATTCTATGAATATGTGGCGGGACATTGTTTTCTAATACAGGAAAAATAATGAACAGGAAAACAATGTCTGTATCATTTATAACATTTATTACAAAACAAAATCTGTCTCTTCTTTTAGAATCTTATTGGACAAGTATATTTATTTTTAATGATCAAGAAATAACCATGTTAATCAGCGGGTAAAACACAAAGTGATACCTTGTTTAAATCTTAACCCCCTCCCCTCAAAAAGTACCCCCACCACCACACACACAAAAAGAAAATCTGATATTAAAGACTAATATCAGATCCTGGCGCTTTGGGTGGTGATAAAGTGATAAAAAGAGTAAAATATATGGTATTGGAATTTTGAGATAAAATTCTGTTTAGATTTCAGTCTAGTTCTATATTTCTATTTGTATAATGCCTAGGATATCTTTTGTTAGAAAACTACTACATTGTAACAGCTTTTGAATTATTTCTCTTGTGTTTCGCGATATTTGGTGAATGCTTTTCACCAGTATTTTGTGTGATTATAAAACTGATTATATATATTATATTAATTCGTATAAGGTAGCAATATCTACTTTGTAAAACTATATAAACTGTAAAGATCCCGTTCAAATGGGTCACACTTAACAAATGATTAAGGTCAATGACTTGAAATCACCCACTTTAACTGTTAGTTTTTCTGAATTCCGCTAGGGAATAATTTTATGTGTTAGGAACCTACACGTATAGACAAAGAAGGTCCACTTATGCTTGTACTAATGTAGAAAGGTATTCCTTCATAAGTGAAAATACAACTTAACAAATGACATTAAGTTACATTGTCGTTGTGATTTGAAAATGTACCAAATTTGCATTTTGATACGTGTAGCTACTATGTCTTTTTGTCAATAGTGTATAACGATCCATTCAACATTATTTGTATTTTCTTAAATTTTCAGACCAAATCCATCCGATACGGAAATTTGTGCAAAACACTTTTGTTGATTTCTGGAGGGAAGTACATGTAATTATTTCTTGGACAAAATAGAATCCTCAATCGAACTCAGTTAAAATTACTGAATACTGTAATTTGATTATAATCTTTATATATTTATTTAAGTCCGTATACTTCTTTGACAGTAACATACATAATAATAGTTATATTATGTTAGCGTCACATTCTTACTAGCAAATTTAGTAACTAATGTTTTATCTAAATATACACTAAAATAATAATAGATTCATTAAGCATTTACAGATTTTTTAATATCTAACTCTACTGTTCATCGATATGCGAAAATTACAACTTGTTTATTCTTGGTAAAAAGCTAGACATATATTCAAGGCTATTGGCAGAAGGGAAAATAGATCGTCTAGTGAACATTTATGTTTTGTCATGTAGACTCAAGCTGTTTACTTATATTGCAAAGATTTAGAGATCTAATGTTCAAAACAATACTTTACAAAGCAACTGCTTTAATTAACGTGATGTAAATAAATGAATAGAGATAATTCATCAACTCTGTATAACCGGATAGATAACACACTGCTATACGTACATTCTTATTTAAAAGTTTGCCTGGTGGCCGACAAAGACTGGCAATGAAAATAAAACAAAAGTGTAATTTTATCATTGTACACAGTCTGTATATAGTCTGATATATGAATGTTGCATCGAAATATATGACCCTACATTAAACAACCGAGGTTAAGTACAGATAATATAGAATGCGTGCGCGTAAACTAGAGTGGAAGACACAATAATCGATCCGCGTGTTTTGTTGTGAAATGAAAAATATACTACTGGTATTATTCTTATTACTTCAATTACAATAAATGAGAATCTTGTATAAAATAAAAGAAAGACAGAAAGAAAGAAAGAAAGAAAGAAAGAAAGAAAGAAAGAAAGAAAGAAAGAAAAAGAATCTGCATCGGCAGTGATATGATCAATATAAAAAAAATGTTGTTTTGCTTACTGCTAAAAATTGAAGATGCAACAAATAATAGAACAAATCAAATCAATGTTTACATGAAGTGGTACATAAATCATCAAAGAAAACCACACAATATATGCAAGGTATAAAAAATGAGTGTTCAACTGCCTTTACATCTATTGATTAAAGTAAAAAATGTTCAAAAAATAAACAAATATTGAAGAATCGGGATTTGGTTTAAACAACACTATTTCTAGTTCCCTATAGTATTTATATAAACAACTCTTTTTAACAACGTGTATAATAGCGAACTGTAATGGCAAAATTGAAATGCCCCTCCTTTTGTCAGGTTTTCTGCACTTGCACTTTTGGTGCTCTTTTTTGCGTCGTAGCATTTGGATTTTGAGGGAGCTTCGTTTCGTGAACACTACTCCCCTTTCTTTATTTTCATATAAAAGAACGAGTTTTGTGAAATGAAATTATTCACTTCTGCAAACTGAAGGACAGACAGAAATTTGTTCAAGGCCACAATGAGTGTAACGACACTCATGCCATAAACCTACTGAATAATAACTTATTATAAAACACAGTTCGGTGTAGATATGCTTGTTTTGTTAGTTTCATTATGGAAGTTTCCAAGAAATCGCTGTTATGATTGTGCAGCAACGCTTTGTCTTACTTTATCTTTACAACTCAAAATCAGAAACAATTGCATAATGTTTGTATCGTATCTGCATTCGTTGGTGGTCTCAATCTAATGAGGTCCTGTCTCGTTTTCTGTTGAGTTCATAGACTCTTCAAAATATTTCTATATATCCAGTATAGACGACTGTCCCTCGTATATAAGAGGATTGCACTGAGGGTTTTTGTCATGCCGAGACTGGAAATATTTTCCTGGAGATTAGTATACCAATTGTTGAGGGCCTAGACAAATAGCTTGTGCGCACATTTTTCAGGTCATTCCCTCAATAATTATTTTCATTGCGCAAAATGACTCAAAAATTATTTAAACTAAAATCAGGCTAAGAATCGTGCTAAATCGATTTTCAATTTAACTCTAAATATTTTTCTTTGTTATCATTTGCAGAATTGTGAGATTAAAAACTGGTAGCCATGTGCCCGAGAGTTCCGATGCGACTATTTTACTAACAGTATGAGGATATGAATTCACAAACCAATGTAACATGTAACTAACATTGAATCATCACCTCTTTCTGGTTCTAAATTGTTCTAAAAACATATATTTTCATTCATTTCTAAATTTATATGCATTGTCACTAAACATGTCGTAGAAAAATTCAGGGCCTCTCGTATTAACATGTGCGCATTCCTTGTAGCAATCAATGCTGTCAACACAGAGAAACAGATTATGCCTTTGTTGGCCTGATTAATAAGAAATATGCGTTTTTACTTGCATTTAAACTATATAAACCATGCGAAAACGGGGATATGCTATTCTTTGGACCGGGTTACCCACACCTAAACGTAAGTTTGTTTAATAATTTATTATTGTATTGTTCTTTATTACAATATGAAAATTTTTTATTGCGAATTCTTTTCTTACATAATTTATTTCAGATTGAAATTTGAAAATATAACTACAGTAAGTTGACGTAGAGCCTCTAGCGAGGTTGGTGTTCTGTTCTTAAAATACTTTTAATTGTATCCTGATGAAGTGCTTCATCTCAGTATTTCTATATTTTCTGGACCTTCGGGATCATTGATTGTCATACATTACGTGTTGGGGATTGAATACAACTTAAGGCGATGCTAGGGGCCGCGAGAGAAGTTACACGTTCCAGCATCTGTCATAAACCGACACAATTAAGCTAAGGCTGCGATTTTGAATTGATTGGGTTTTTTCTCATTGTTCTCGAGGATATCCTTATTAATAGATCCCTACTCTGACCTTTTATTTAAATAACAATAGATTTCACCAAAAGCATTGACATGTGCTCTTCTGTTAACAAATATGTTGTGGTGAAATTCTTTGTATCCACTAATCTGATAATTAGAAAAAGACAAGTCAGGTATCTATGCATTCCGGATTTTAATTCAAAAACAATGTCATCTACAAAATGTTGTTATATCACCTAACTGCACGATACTGACAACTAAATTGTTACACCATATTGTTTTGACGACAATTGTTTGGATACGTACATGTAATTGTTTTCAACACAGTCCCTGAACAGACTCAATCAAAATTTCAGTTTTGCCTTTTTAAGCGTTCTTTAGAGTGTCATTGTTTTCTATCTTATTGTCATATCGTTGTATTTGCCATGTAGATGTTGTAAATACTCAATTTCTCATCCTTTAAAGTCATTCAGTACAACTTTCATGTCGCGTTTGAGAATTTCTAGTTCCTTCCATTGGTTGTTTGTAATTCTATTTGAATAATGTATAATCACCCTCACTCAGGATATGTTGCATTCTTTTTATATTTCTCTTTTGGCAACTTTATTGGTATACGCTAGCTTCTTATCCTCTGATCACTTTCTAAAATTTCATTCCTGTAGTTTCGACTACGGTTCATGTCCCATTCTTTCTTTTACTTAGGAACGATACGCCACTACGCCAGTGTACGAAAGTATAACATTAATGGTTTACATGATAACCGTAGCATGAATCTACGAATGCCTTTTTTTAATTACAAAATTCCATGTTTGAATTCATTTCATGTTTGAATGTTGGTTCCGCTTAAAACGATTCTATGTTGAAAGACACCACATGTTCTTACCACTATAATACATGAACATGATTGATCAAACAGAGCCTGTAACATTTTTTATTGTGACATTGATGTCGTTCTTTAAGATTATTTTCCTCTCTAATTTATTCTCTGTTTGTGCCATGACATAAAATGTCGCGGTTTATATATATTGATGTTGTCATTCCTTTCTTTTCTGCAGCAAAACATCCCTTATAAATACAAAAAACAACAAAAGCGGAAATGTTTGTAGCTGTCGCAGTTCTGTTATCCATTGCTGGTATTTGCACTGTGCACGCAGGCGGTAAGCATTCCTAATTATTAATAATTTGCTGGAAGCGAAATTGATAAGCCTTTGCAACTTAAACGCGAATAAAGATCAACAAGACAAAGGCAACGTCTGTGCAGTCTTACCAGGCTTTATACTGTTGGAGCTCTATGTTATTGTTTCATAGTTTTGAGACATTTCTATTGAAATCTGTCAATGTAAAATCGAATACCCATACCTGCATAATGCGTCAATTGGAGTGCAGGTATTAGTTACCTGCACTACAGTTACTGCACAGTCTGACGGGTAAAACATAGAACATGCTCGTTTATTGGCTCATTTTTCTTCTGGGATTTACTTATTGGCATAAAAAAACATCAAAACACTTGACTTGAGGACTATCGTCCTTCGTACAAATCATATAGCCTCGTGTTTCGATGTTCCTTCTATTACGTAGAAATTGAAATCCCATAAATCTCAAATGGATTGTTTACAACTCGAAGCATTGCTAATCCAGCTGGTAAGGGTTAGCACTTCTTTAAGCGAGTCTTCCTTATTTCAATTTTATTTTTAAGTGTAAAGTATTTATTACATTACCTGGAGTTCAGTATTAGTTACTGCTTTCTGTCGGGGAAAAAAATGAGCAAGCTCGTTGATTTGTTACATTTTTATCTGAGCTTTACTTATTATAACGAAATTGCACAAATAAATGAATTTTAACTGTTTTCTAGAGACAAGGACCAATGTGGCATTTAAAAAACCATGTACAATGTCTGATCAAGTTGGTGATTATGCATGTACGTATGGTAATGACGGCAACACGGAGGCTGGATCATGCTTTCAAACCAAAAGATCAGCCAAAAACTTTTGGAGGGTGGATTTGGAAGATACTTATGAAATTGTCAAAATAAAAATATATAGCAACCTTGACGCTGCAGGTAAACATTCACACACTTACTTAATTGCAATATACATGTACTAGCATCAAGATGTATTTTACATTCATTTTTACTCAATCGCTCACTAGTGCCACGTGACCTTCAGGCATATTTCCCACATTAGACATTGTGCTATCAAATATACTTATCCCAATATTGGGTAGTTAAGTGAGTGTGACCGATTCCATGAAATGTCAAGGATAAAGACCGTTAATGGAAATTATATCCGAGTAAAAGTGTCTTCGGGAGACGCACATGACTGATGTTTTTGTATAATAGTATTTTATTTATCACAATGTGTTTTCTCAACGTTTTTTAAATACATATGTATAGTCCCTTGATATCACTATTCTATGCTGTAAACATTGTCGTCATTCCCCAAGTTATGTTTCATAATTGTCAGTAAAACAAGGTGATATATCTATCATCATGAAAGTCCCTCGTTATCTTTTCCCGTCAACAAAGTAACATGACAAAACTAGAATTGATTTAATTGATGGAAAGAGAGTTACCAACTTTTTCATGCTTTCTTTCTTTTATTCATTTTGAGTAAATTAATTGAAATCGTGCCAATGATTTCCTTATTGTCAGTTTTGAACTTAACATTCTTACAAATGTGTAATATTAAAGTGACATTATGCTCATATTTTCATAGTCAAGTAGAGCTGAATTGACTTTTTATTTCATAACATTGACAGTTAGAATGGTGTTTGACTAACAGTTTATTTTGGAAAATGTTTTGGATAAATTTAAAATTTGCCTAGAATATGAAAAGACTGACCCACTCTTTTTATAAACTAAACGTTTCAGGTTAGGTCTAATTGATATTTTCAGAAATTCCGTTTCTATCCGGGGGTTATTTATTGTTTATATGAAGTAAATTATTAAATTCAAAGGAATAATGGCAATATAAAAACCTATTTCGACTTTCACCTGTTCACTCACTGTATACCCTTGGCATATGGGCATAATGTCACTTTAAGTTTAGGTGTATAAAGAGGTGATATGAAGTTAATAACGGACACAATATTCTTCTTACTTTTCAGAAAGACAAGGAAACAATATCAGAGTATTCATTGGCCTTGAAGAATCTGATGTATTTAGAACAAAAGTTGGCGATTTTCAAGACTTGTTAGACATTCAAATCATTGATCTACCTCCTGGTACAAAGGCATCTTATGTGAAGATTGTCCAAACGGCACCAGAGGGAAATCTGCTGAAATTGAATCTTTGTGAAATTCAAGTCTTTTCACCTAATTCCACATAACTAAGTAAGTAATTTCACGAAACTCAGTCATTTCACTTGACGTAGTAAATTTACCTTACTAAATAATTTCACATTACAAAGTTATTTCTCTTAACAAAGTAATTTCGCCTTATAAACAAAGCCATTTCACGTAATTTAGTCATATTACCTTATTGATTTATATCAACTCTAAATTAATTAATATTTGAACCAGTAAAAGACATTTAATACATTAATTCAAATTTTAGATCATATAATTATTAAGCAATTTCACCTTAATTATTTCATATAACTTAGTAATATTATCTAAGTTATTTCGGAACTGTCGTAATCATTTGCTTCAGTGAAGACATTTGATTTATTTAAGTTTTGAATAATGGCATTAGATCCAGCAAATACTTACATATAAAACTTTGAGTAAATAAAAAGAATAAGTACAATCTATATGAGTCAATCATGTACTTACATGAACAACGTGTATTAATTATTATCCAGTTATGTAGAAATGTGCAAAAGTAACGCAGAACTGTACAATTCTGTAGACGAAACAAGTACCATGGAAAGTAAATTGACCAATGTTTGTTTTACTGTACAATATGATTGCTGAGACATTATATCACAAACCTCATTAAAAACATTTCTATAAAAGTATTTATTTTTATAAGATCATTCAAGAGAATGGCCGGGCTAGCGTACTGAATGCGACTTTATGTTTTTGCTAGTATCTTTAAATACAATAACGTTTATATTTTATTCTGGTTTTTGATATTTAGTGTGCCTGAGATTTTGTGTAATATAACACTTAATTTCGCGGCTAAAATGTTACTGAGATCATTCTAACGTAGTGACGCCGAATTCGTGATGCACTGGTTTGGCAAATGTCTAAGGTAAACTGAATATTAAAAAATAAAGGGTTTTTTAATACGTTATTGTATTTACTTATTTCGGCAAAAGTCGCCCCTTAAATGGCAGTCAGATCGTCATTTTCACGAATGATCTTTGACAGTAAACATATTCCTGGAATTTTAAAGTATAATATCAGAACAGCGTATTTCTTTGAATTTTTTTATTGATGAAATATTTCAAATATTTTGTCCGTTTAACTTCCACGCTACTCACTTACGTGACTATAGATTAGCTTATTTTCGGCGTTACATTGGTGTTATTTGGCGTTATTTGCACATTATTTTGTTACTGAATTTACACGGTGACGAGATGATCGGAGTCCTTACGATTTATTTTGCATTTGCTCCGAGCATATAACTTCAGTATATTCTTGAGCGTAGCCAAGTAAGTTACTAAGACAGGAAAACGCCAAATAAAATGTAAAACAAATCTATACACTTATATGAAACCATTACAATTTCAGATGATGTTGCAGCTTTAACATGAAAAAATTCAGTCGGTGTTTTGTAATAAAATCTGTTTTGAATAAAGCACGGAATTACATAAAGTTTTGTCGATTTTATTGTCTTTTAAAAAATGATTTGTTTATAGAACTGTACATCAAGTTTTAAAAACAAACATGATAACATTAGGCTGCAGTCACACTGTATCACAACCTGGGTTACCATCGTCACTTTTTTATGTTATTTGGTACGTTGAATATGACAACGAAACTTGAATGTCTCAATAATGTACAAATCACCTTAATAAGGATTTAGAAATTTTAAAAGGAACTGTGTGCAGAAGAAAAGAAGGTGATAAGTTAGCTTACTTACTGAAGTTAATTACATAGGCAGCAAATACTCATTCAGTTGGTTGTTATAAAGTTTCATTCTATTTCATTTAGTTTTGAAATTGCAACATGCAATTTAAAAATTTCCTAATTTGCACATATGTGCAGGCTAGCATGGCGATAAATGCCTACATTTCAAAGCCTCTTAAACAATGTAAACTGTTTTATTCGATGAGAGTTGATTGAATGAAATGAATCAAAAGTAAAAAAACTATCTTGATTGTTGCGACTTTTATCAATATACAAACATGAAAGCTTTGTAACATTTATTTTATATTGTCGCGGCTTTGATCAATATACAGACATAAAAGCTATGTAAAAGGTATTTTATATTGTCGCGGGTTATCAATAGAATAACATCACTATGAAGCTCAACAACAGCTGCTGGGAAATAAAATCTTACGTGTATAATAGGTGTAATAAAGTACATTTGAAATTAGAAAACACAGAAGAGCCTGGACATTGGACAGAATTCTTCATGATAGGATCCAGGGACAAAACAAAGGAAATGAATTACTAATCACATTGTCTTTCCCTAGATAGAAAATGCATTATAAAATTAGTCAATAAACAGATTATAAAAAGTAATCGGGACATTTAAACAATAACATACAATTGTCATCTTCAAATATTAAACATTTACAATATAAAACTTGCAATGACAAGGTTACATAAAATATAAAACTGAGAGAATGATGCTTTCTCTACTATAAGAGAACACAGTTCTTTCCGTTCTAATTATATTTTCTCCTTTAAATCACGAATATTCCTTGTTCATTGAAATTCGCAAAAAACAGACAGCAAGAACAAATTTTAGCACATTATTAGTCTGTCTTCATTGCTAATACATTAAATATAATTCCAGCTGTAAAAAAATTGCGATAATAATAGACCATTTAGCTAGTTGAATTAGCAGTCTTCCAAGGTTATATCGAGCTATTATTATCAAATCGAAAACAGGGCAAATACAAAATGGATTTGAAGTTATTTGGCAGACATATAATTAAAGAAATATGTGTATTTTAAAAAAGTATATTGGTTGATCTTATAAAATATGAAATACTTTTACCGTCTAGTTTTGATTATATTAAACTTTGAAAATATCAGGTACCATATTTATTACTATATTTAGCATAATTTAACCAATAAATAACTATATAAATTAAAAAATCAAAATTAAACACTTTTTTCTTCCCAAATGGGACATGAGAGATACAAAAATAATGTTAAAAGAAAAAAAGAAAGAAAAACAAAGTTGACCCCTCTGGGGATTGAACCCATGGCCCTCATTTTCAATGTAGTTAACAGTAGTTCTAGCCTATTTGAATACTCTTCAAAGCGGAGGTAATGCATTAGGATGCTAATACCTTAATGTCTGTAAGTTTTTAACAAATCAAAACTAAATATCAAAATGCGACAACATAATGCACGGAAATATAACCAAAACATTAAGTTTACTAATACAACAACAACAACAACAACAACAACATTATATTACTATCACGCACCAAACACACAAAAGGCTATTGCATTTATGCTTTACATTCTTTTTGGAAATATCATATTTTGAAATACTGTCTGTCTTTTATTTTGGTATGTTTAACTAAACTGAAATTTACTACAAACAAACGATCAAGCTATGGCAAAATACCGAAAATTCAATTCTCCATGGCAAATGCAAAATGTACATACATTTTCATAATAAATAAATAAATGAATGAATGAATGAATGAATGAATGAATGAAGAATGAATGAATGAATGAATGAATGAATAAATAAATAAATAAATAAATAAATACATACATACATACATACATACATACATACATACATACATAAATACATAAATACATAAATACATAAATACATACATAAATGAAAAAATAAATAAATTAATTTTAAACCATTTTAATAATATAACACTTGAAAGCGTTTTATTTAATTTTTTCCAGTGCGTTTAACATTAAATTTGCCAAACGCTGGCGTGGCTTAAATAAAGCGGCAGCTATTTACTCGTATACTATTTCTAACCTTAAAAATCACATGAGGTATTATTAATAAATAGTTTGTAATATCTAGTGAACGCCTCCCTGCTTGCGATTAAACCACGAAAGTTTTATTTGTATCTCATATAAATCTCATATAAATATTAATTAATAACATGTTGTTTATTAAAACAAATATTTATTGATTTACGCTGAGGAAGGTGCATTATGACATGAAGTTTGTATCATATCATGAAAAACGTTTATCAACCAACAGTCTGATAAACATCTATTTGTATAACTTTGATCGGTTTTGTGTTTTATTCACTAGACTTTCAGTCATATATTAAAGTAAGCGCAGGTGGTTTTCTTGAGAAACAACTTGCTGCCAATTAACAATTCCAAGATAGAAGACATTTTATTAAAGAGTTCAGGAAATGAAATCTGTACTAATGAATAATTGATGGCACAATTAATGATTGCATTTTGAACAATTACTCTGCATATTTCATAAGATAGTCTAGCAAATAAAGAAACCAGTCTAAATTGTGTTAAATTTGATAAAGTATTTAACTTTACAAACTTTACAGAAGAGTTGTCAAATATTAGCATATATCACGCCTTTAATACTGTTGCATAGAGCTTGTCCTTTTATAACATTAATTAATGAAGATCAAATATTAAATATTGTTTCTCAACTCCCCCCCCCCATACAAATGACAGTTTCAACATGTTTCAACGTGTTTCGATGCTCTTTCTATAACTTCATCATCTGAATTTGCAGCAATAGATGTTCAGTTTGTCACAAACGAATGCAAACCAACACTTAAAAGTATGTAGATCCCTTTTGAAGATTGACCACACTTTATTACTCGTATGTGACAATACGGAATAGAATACAAAATGTATTTAGTTGAATGTTTGTCATTTTATTCTGAACGTCTTACTTAAAATATTTTTTCTCTCTCTCTCAAAAAAAAAAAAAAAAAAAAAAAAAAAAAAAAAAAAAAAAAAAAAAAAAAACAACAAACAAAACAAACACAAAAATTGTCTGAACCTATTCAAGAAGCTCACGCATCAAAATCCTAACAGGGTTTAATTAAGAAAATTTGAAATTAAAAAAACAAAACAATTTATCAACATGTTGAGAAACAAGACATTGGACAAAAATCTATATAACAGGAATAAGGGACAAAAGAAAGGAAATGCATTACTAATCAAATTGTCTTTCGTCAGATAGAAAATGCATTAAAATTAGTAAGGGAACTTATTTAAAAAGAAATTGGACATTTAAATAATAAATAATTTTCAAATAAACATTAAATTTTACAGTATGAAGATTGAAATGGCAATGAAACATAAAAACTGAGATTATGATGGTTTTTTACTATAAGAAAACACAGTTGTTTCCGTTCTAATTTTGTTTTCTCTTTTAAATCATGAATATTCCTGGTTCATTGAAAGTCTTCTTCATTGCTAATACATTAAATATAATTCCTGTTATAAAAATATGCTATGATAATGGACCATTTAGCTAGTTGTTAGAAATAGAATAAGCAGTCCTCCAAGGTTATATCGAGCTATTATCAAATCGAAAACAGAGCAAATACATAATGAATTTGAAGTTATTTTACAGAAATATAATACAAAATAGTGTTTTTTATGACAAAAATTGCTATATGATATTAGAATGATTGTGTATTTTTGTGTAACTTCTGTGTACGATGGTACATTATTTTAGATTAAGTATACTGTCGCGGAAAATACATTGAGAAGCATGTCTATTAACATTCCAGTATTCAATACGTTAAAATTTCAGTTTGTTATACCCCCAAAAACGAAGTTTGGGGGGGGGGGGTATATAGGAGTCACCCGGTGGTCGGTCGGTCGGTCGGTCGGTTGGTCGGTCGGTCGGTTGGTCCAGACGTCCGTTGCATTTTCCTTGTCCGGAGCTAACTTGAAAACTAATGGTTGGAATTCAATATAACTACATACAATGGTCAAGCACATTGAGAGGAAGTGCAGTGCACAAGAACCATAACTCTATCTTGACTAATTACAGAGTTATTGCCCTTTGTTACTTTTCCTTGTCCGGGGCATAACTTGAAAACTACTGGTTGGAATTCAAAACAACTTCATACAATTGTCAAACACAATAAGGGGAAGTGCAGTGCACAAGAACCATAACTCTATCTAAAGTAATTACAGAGTTATTGCCCTTTGTTGCTTTTCCATTGCTTTTGTTTTGTCCGTTGCATTTTCCTTGTCCGGAGCATAACTTGAAAACTAATGGTTGGAATTCAATATAACTACATACAATGGTCAAGCACATTGAAAGGAAGTGCAGTGCGTAAGAAACATAACTCTATCTTGACAAATTACAGAGTTATTGCCCTTTGTTACTTTTCCATGTCCGTGGCATAACTTGAAAACTACTGGTTGGAATTCAAAACAACTTCAAACAATTGTCAAACACAATAAGGGGAAGTGCAGTGCACAAGAACCATAACTCTATCTAAAGTAATTACAGAGTTATTGCCCTTTGTTGCTTTTCCATTGCCTTTTTTTTGTCCGGACCATAACTTGAAGACTAATGGTTGGAATTCAATATAACTACATACAAAGGTCAAGCACATTGAGAGGAAGTGCAGTGCATAAGAACCATAACTCTATCTAAAGTTATTACAGAGTTATTGCCCTTTATTACTTTTCCATTGCTTTCTTTTGTCCGGACCATAACTTGAAGACTAATTGTTGCAATTCATTATAACTTCATACAATGGTCCAGCACATTGAGAGGAAGTGCAGTGCACAAGAACCATAACTCCATTTTGACTTAATACAGAGTTACTGCCCTTTGTTTCTTTTCCTTGTCCAGAGCATGACTTTAAAACTACTGGTTGGAATTCAAAACAACTTCATACAATGGTCAAGCACAATAAGGGGAAGTGCAGTGCACAAGAACCATAACTCCATCTTGACTAATTACAGAGTTATTGCCCTTTGTTACTTTTCCTTGTCAAGAGCATAACTTGAAAACTACTGTTTGGAATTCAGTACAACTTCATACAGTTGTCAAGGACATTAAAAGGAAGTGCAGTGCACAAGAGCCATAACTCCATTTTGACAAAATACAGAGTTACTGCCCTTTGATACTTTTCCTTGTCCGGAGCATAACTTAAAACGTACTGGTTGGAATTCAAAACAACTTCATACAATGGTCAAGCACAATAAGAGGAAGTGCAGTGCACAAGAACTATAACTCTATCTTCAGTATTTATAGAGTTATTGTCCTTTGTTCTTTTTCTTTGTCTTTCTGGACTTATTACAGAGTAATTGAATTAAACTTCATCAATGGCCAACCACATTGAAAGGAAATGCAACATTCATGAACCACAATTATCTTTAATTGCCCACAACCATAACTCTATGTTTCAATTCTATTACAAGGTATTCTGTTACTAGTAACATCCTCATTTCCGAAGTAGACTTGTGGGGGTATTAATCACATTTAGTGATAGTTCTAGTTATTTAATTTTCATAAAGCATACAGGCCACCTCCTTCAAACATCCTTTGGCATGAGGTATTAACATTGATGTGCTTCTCTTTGAAAATTTTGACAGGATAAAACTATTTATAAACATATGCTAATCCGCTCTGTCTCTTCAAAGTTACACCAGGGAGTTTGAGAAAATATGATCAACAAGATCAACAAGGAAAGGCGGCGTTCAATTAACGCAATGAAGCCTTACTCCGAATTGGTTGTTATCTTAAGTACAGATGCACTTATTTTAAATACAGATTCAGAAGCCGTGTAAAAGCATCCAAATAAAGATTCTCGTTAATTAGATATAATTATATTTGTTCCTAAATTGTTTGTAACGTGTTTACTTCATTTAGAATTACCGAAAATCTGATACTTGTTTGTAAATAATATTCTACCCTAAATGGATGACACTTTTCCAGGAGAAAATTATATGCCATGATAAATAATTTTGACGGAAATGTCTGAATTTTCAGGGTTTTTTTTGTAATGAAATCAGCAGTTCAGAAAAATATCAAGAAAAATCCGTTTCAAAAATGACATGATTTACATAAATTCTTACAGAAAGATTCAATCACAAAATGTCCAGAAAGTTCTAGTATGCATATTCATCCAGTGAAAAAAAAGATATTACTATAAAAGCGAAAAAATATATTTTAAAAAACAATAACACAACAAAATAATAAGAAACAAAAAATAGCAATCGCTATACTCATTGAGCCAGTTAAATATATGTATTATTCAACCTCCAGGTTTCACTGTTCTTGAAAATTAGAAAGAAAATAAAAGAAATATAATTTAATAACTTGCCATTCAATAGCAAATTGATCCAGAATTATTCGTGATTGTCATTTAATGAAATCCAACATGAAGAGCGATCACCGTTGATGAACCATTTTTTAAAATGAAACAACCAGAATCGATTAACTTTTTTTGTGATTTTCTTTAGGAAGTGTTTTATTTCATTAAGATGATTTGAAATATTCTGTAATTTATCGAACTTGAATCAAATGACTGAATTGCATACATGATATGCTCTTAGCCATGATTAATCGTGACGAAATCAATCGAAAAAAACAAACTTGTTAATAAAAATGAAGTTTAGAATAACAGTTTATACAGAACAAACATATCAATGAAATGGATTATAGAAAATGCTAAATCTCTGTTTCTGACACATCATTGCAAAAAGACTTCCAAGATTTTTCAAGTTCCCGAATCTAGTGTTGATGGATCAGATTGTACGAGTTTTGAAGTAAAGAACTTTTGAGGAATAAATAGCAAGTGTTTAGGACAATCCAGTACAAATTAATAATTTTAAAATTCCATTGGCTGTGACTAAGTTTTAGAACAATCCATTCGGATTAAGATTTTAAAATTGCATTTGTAATTTCTCAGAATTCTTACATTAAATATAAATTTATTACATTTATAAGACAAGGTTAATAAGCCCCGTGATGAATTGAGATGTTACATACATGTAAATTGAAATATTGTAATAATTTGTTCTATAATTGCATTAAATTCCGTATGAAAGAATGACAAGAAAATAAATATATAAATAAATAGATCAATGTATTAATAAAATTCACAAATTAGTCTGTATTAACAGAAAATGATGTCATAAAGGACATTTTACATTTAATGTTTGTAAGTTTTTAACAAATCAAATCTAAAATATATCAAAATATGGCAACGATTTATAATACGTGAGAAATACAACCATAACATTAAGTTTACATAAATAATAATAATAAAAATTATAATAATAATTTAAAAAAAAAAATAATAATAACTACTGCTGCTGCTGCTGCTAAAAAAACGCACACGCACACACTTCCGTTTTGAAAATATCATATTTGAAAATATGTACTGTCTGTCTTTTTTTTCAAAAGCAGATTTGATATGCTTAATAAAACTCAAAATTATACACTACAAACAGCGATCAAGCCATGGCAAAATACCAAAATTCAAATTTTCTATGGGAAATGTTTTTTTTACATTTATTTTTACAATTATAAATAAATAGATAAATAAATAAAGAAAAAATCATACACTTTAAAATTGAAACCGTTCTTATAATATAACAATTTAAGGTGTTTTATTGTTTTAATATTTTCCTTCAATTCATTTTAATTAAGTTTACCAAATGCTTGGCGTGGCAAAGAGAAATCGGCAGCTATTTGTAATTTTTCTAACCTTGAAAATCACATATTGAGATATTATTGATAAATAGTTTGTAATACCTAGTGAACGCCTCCCTGCTTGAGACTTAACCACAAAGGTTTTATTTGTATCGCATATAAATCTCATAATATAAATTTAATAACATGTTGTTTATTAAAACAGATATCTATTTGAGGAAGGTGCATTTGTGTCATATCATGAAAAACGTTAATTGACCAACAGTCTGATGAACATCTCTTTGTATAACTTTGATCGGTTTTGTGTTTTATTCACTAGACATTCAGTGATATAATTAAAGTGATATGAGCAGGTGGTTTTCTTGAGAAAAAACTTGCTGCCAATTAACGATTCCAAGATAGAAGACATTTTATTAAAGAGTTCAGGAAATGAAATCTGTACTAAATGAATAATTGATAGCACAATTAATGATTGCATTTTCAACAATATCTCTGCATATTTCATAAGATAGTCTAGCAATTAAAGAAACACCTCTTAATTGTGTTAAATTTGATAAAGTATTTAACTAGAGTTGTCAAATATTAGCATATATCAACCCTTTCAGACTGTTGCATAGAGCTTGTCCCTTTATAACATTAATTAATGAACATCAACTATTAAATATTGTTTGTGAAATCCTCCCCCATACAAATGACAGTTTCACAGTTAAACATAGATTTTACTCCCTAAAAACTTCTTAAAGGTGTTAAGATGAGTTTCTGACAAAAAACTCTCCCAAACAAAAGACCTCTCATTTACTTGTTTGTACATATATCATTTATGTTTGTACATCTATTATTTGTGTTTGTACATCTATTATTTGTGTTTGTACTTATATCATTTATGTTTGTACATATATTATTTATGTTAGTACATATATTATTTATGTTTGTACATATATTATTTATGTTTGTACATACATATTATTTATAATTGTACATATATTATTTATGTGTGTACATATATATTATTTATGATTGTACATATATTATTTATGTTTGTAAAAATATTATTTATGTTTGAACATATATAATTTATGATTGTACATATATTATTTATGTTTGTACATATATATTATTTATGATTGTACATATATTATTTATGTTTGTACATATATTATTTATGCTGTACATATATTATTTAAATCTGTACATATTCCGAAGTATAGGAGGAATAAACATGAAAATGGAAGCCTGACCTTTAAACCTATGAACATGCATATATTTAGCGAAAGGGCTTTTTGAAACCTTTAAAATTGATGCAACAGCTTTTGTTCACTTTTGTTCTCTATCCAGACGTTCCAAAAATTAATAAAAATAATTCTTCAACGTAAATTGGTCTCATTGACGTACTTCGTAAACAGAGTCATTATGGGTAAAAGGAAACAATACCGTTGCCGTTTCTTTATAGAGATGACAATACGGATTATGATGGAGAACATATCGACTATCACCCCCTCAAGTTATAGACATTTCTACAAGTAGCACGGACTTCTCGTGTTACAGACATTTCGACTGTCAACGAAGAAAACTTAGTGCCTCAGCTTCATCAATTATGCATTGAGTATTAATTGAGGCACACATAAAATAGCCATAATAGCTCAATAAAATCGGCAATATTTACAAATCAATTTATTTTTTTATCGCTCGATTCCTGCCTATAAGAGATGGCTGCACTTTTTTCTGGCCAAAGGTGTTCCGGAAACCGGATGATGTAGTTATCAGGAGACGGGAATTAGAACTGATATCATGGTAAATGTTTCCGAAAGGAAATTACAAATTCACTGTATAAATGAATCACGATACATTGTTTTTTCTTTCCTGTGAATTATAGTTAAATGTTGCAAAGGTTTTGAACAGGATAGATATTTTATGATGACTAGTTAATTTAAATTTGATTTTCGTTGGTTTATTTTACATTGAATTTTTCTATTTAATTCTGGGAAATAGTTTATTTAATTATGCTTTACCATGAACTGTTGATTAGTGTATGTTATAAACTGGAGAAAATTGTTTTTACTTGTAGACATAAATTGTTAATGTTTTGCTCATAACAATAAGTGAAATAAAATGGACAAAGTAAAACATAAAACATGATTAAATATATGTGTGTATATATGTATTTATAGGATGAACATTGTCAACAACAAAATGTTTTATCTTCTTTTATGAAAAAAGAAAAACAAAAACATTTTTGACGGCCATGAATGCCAAAGCTGATTTAGAATTAAGCATAACTTTAAAGTTCGTAGACATAACATACAAATACCAGATTTGTGTTTAAAATATAATGATACATAATTATATATGATCTTTTTCAGTCACTGCCTAACTTCTACAGTGTCCAGGGACCCCGACATACCGGCTTTAGACCTTATTTTGACCATCAGCAGCCGGCAGTTCCACCATGGCCAGACCAAAGCATCAAACATGTATACGATATCGGAAACACCCATACTGTTCAGAACGAGCAATTCACGGGTTACCAATTTGATAGTTCAGATGCAAGGAACAAATTTGCCGAACATTTTGGAAGTGGCAGTCGGGATAAATCTGATCAATATGATCAAGAACTAATGACGAAGGGAAGGGGAAAACGGTTACAAAAGAAGGGCACTCTTGAAGACTGCTATTGTTATAAAATGCCATATTGTGGATTACTGAATAGTTACGCTCGAGATACCGGAAACCATCAAGACATCTTTACGGAGTCACATGTAATTCAAAGAGCAGACGATACGCGAACTGAAAGATTTGAAAGTTATACTGGAAGACATATAGGTAAAATACATACTTTTATCACCCTTTATAAATATATAACATTCTATAGTGTTCTTCTAATATCATACATAATATTGTTAACAAAATTGATAAAGACTGAAAACACAACTGCATTTGTATTTTGAACTTTTTTCTAAAAAAGAAATATTGTTAAAAAGAATGATTTATGATAAGAATTATATTAAATTTTGTAAAAATAAATGAAAAAAAACTGTTTTCGTATGTATTGCAGAACCTGCATTTTAAACTCAAAATCTACCATTTAATAATGGTTTTCATGATAATTAATTCATATAAATTTGGCGTTGAAATCTAAATCACTTCTTAAATAGAATATTCTTAAAAACTTCAGGAGAATCAATATAAACATTTATAACAAAATACCGCTATGATTAGCATTTTAATTGATATGATAAATCATGCAGCGAAAGCTGTTCGATATAAGTTTTATATGTTTACATGATAAATTTTCTTAAGCCGGTGCCATGGGGCATCGGCAGTAGTTTGCATTTTCCAGTACAATCCATGAATAGGCTCAATTAATCCTGCAATATTTTCACTTTTGCCGTTCTGTGCTTTCAATATGGATTCTATTTCTTCTCGTTTTACATGTGCATTCGTTGTACTTTTTTAAGTTTTGAATAATTAGGAAACATGTTACAATTTTTCTCTTCATTAGTTACAAGTCATTTGACGTCACAAATTAAATATTTTACATTCCCTTTATTTCAATACATCATATATGACGTTATTACAATTACATTTGTAAATATATTTGTTACAATAATTTAAATTCGGTAAATTAAATAAAGTCCAAAAACTATTCAAAAACACGTTGATGGTTCGGAAAAAACAACTTGTTTTGTTAAACATTTCAATTAGTTCAATATTTCAATTATTCGTGTTATTGTAGTAAAAACAACATATTTGTTTATTTTAACAAGATGTAGGCGGAACGCATAACAAACACATCATTTATAACTTTTCATATATCAAAATTATAGAGATTATAATCAAAAGACCCCAACTTATTGCTACTAGTATACCGTACATTTTTATTATTAAGCTTTTAAGCAAATATAATTATAGATTTTGATTTGCAATACCTATTAAATGGATTTAGAGTTGAATTGGTATACAATAGACATACTTTTCATAAGTATTGTAAATACTTAAAAAAACGGTACAAATGTATCATTTTGATATTCATATATAGCATATTAAGTGTATACATATTATATAATGAGTAATAATATTTTGTTCAAGAACAATTGATTATCTGCTATACAAGATATGTAATATCTGATCTCACACTTTCCAACAACATCCATATAAACTCGTCCATGGTTTGTTTCAAAGTATTATATTCAATTTTATCATTACAACTATGTAAGGTTTAACAAATATTACACTATGAACCATTTCACTTTAAAATGGACAATACAAGTATATATTTCTCCACATTCTTTTACATACTTCTGTCCAAAAAATCTACCACTTCCATGTGTATCTGGAAATTATTTATAAATTACACGACAATTAACTATATTACAACTTTTTACGACTTTACACCACTAATAATGTTCCTTCATTTTCAAATTGAATAATTATGTTTTATTCCTTAAACCATAACTTAAAGTGACATTATGTCCACCCAATGGTATTTTGTGAGTGAACAGTCAAAATAAGTTTATATTTTGCTATATACTTCTTTAATATTCATTATAAAATTAATAACTCAAGTGACGGAAGGTAATTTCTGTACATGTTCATATGGACATACCAGTAACGTTCAGTTTATAAAAAGAATGGACAGTCTTTTTATTTTTGAGGCCGATTTATATTTCACCTTAACATTTTCAAATCACCACTAAAACGGTCACTCTTTTCAAATATAAAGTCATTTCAACCCAACTTGACCATTAAAATGAGCAGAAGAATGTCACTTTAAGAATATGGGTATAAAGTAATATTCTAAAGGAGTAAATAAGTAAAAATATTGTCTTTTGTTATTTACAAAGATTTTGGCAGGTTGAAGGTACTATATGAAAGACGTTTTAGCATATATAGTGCAAATGACCTTTTATTTGCGGCAATTCAACCTGTCAAGATTTTTTTCAATGAATTAATAATGTATCAAATTTTCTTGATAAGACAGAAAAAAATAACTTCATATATAGATCTTGTATATATAAACGTCATGCATATCCACTGAAAAGCAACGTTACAAACATGCAGTGTTATGAAAATAGATATACACTTCCATAGAAAATACAACGTTATATTTTATGTAAAATGATTAAAGTGTATTTGTATGCAAGTAAACAAACAATTAAATTTTTATTTTTTCAGATCCTGTCGAAAGGAAAACACGTATAGAACCAACGGTTGGCTTCCCATACATGCATCCAATGTGGCCTTACAGAATGATAGGCGACCATTTAGAGATGGCAAAATCTAATCAAGGTAACTAAGGAAATGTTTCAGTATGCTTGTTTCCAGATCATTCTGACATATTATCGCAAAGAAATATGTTTTGGGGGCTAATATATATTTGATTTGGATTAAAGGATAATATTTAAGAAACCAATAGTAAAGAAAAAACCATAAAAGAAACAGTAAAGAGACATTTTTTGCCACAAGAAAGTAAAATCATTTAAATCAAGTAGTCTAATTGTTTCGTAGATTTTTCCTTTTTACACTTAAAGCACACATTTAAATAATCAACATTATTTTACACATGTAAGTTATAAACATCACATGAAATTGCAATGCCTGCATATCAAAACAAATTGATCAGTTTATAATTGTATGTTCTAGGCTCTGGTCAGATACAGCTATGGCAATTTCTACTAGAGTTGTTGTCCGACGCATCAAACTGTTCAGCTATAATATGGGAAGGTCGAGACGGCGAGTTCAAACTCTTAGATCCTGATGAGGTAGCAAGGAAATGGGGGCAGCGAAAGAGCAAACCGAACATGAATTATGACAAGCTTAGTAGAGCTTTAAGATATTACTATGATAAAAACATTATGACGAAGGTACATGGTAAAAGGTATGCATACAAATTCGATTTTACAGGACTTGCGCAAGCTTTACACCAAAATCTTGAGTCAACCCCAGGATATACTTGCAGAATCAACACCGACTTCTTATTAAAAACGGGCACGGCATCTTTCGATAAAGCAGACGATAAAGCTATCCAACCACAAGGGAATTCATCACACGTTCAATACAAATGTCAGAAAGAAAATCAGTTTTACGCAATGCAAATGTAATTAAATGTTGATAATTATAGGAATTCTCTTCTTTCTCAGTTAAACGAAGGATATTATCCTACGATTTAGCAAGATTTGAATACCGGAACATTAACTCGACAATTTGACGTAATTTGACGTCAATTATGATATTGATATAACTAATGACAATCAGAAAATGACATCTCTCTTACATGAATGTCGATCAATATAATTATCATTTCAATTATCTATGTTTGATTGTTTGTAGTGATTGTACTTTCAGGAAATAAAACTTATTATCTTTACTCTTACGGTGACTGTATCGTGATAATACCAAACATGGAATGGGCGTTCAAAGATGTATTCTTCTGGTACAATTGGACAAGCACGATCATACATGTATATGCTATTAACTAATCACCAACTTATGATAAAATGTTTTACCACGTAAAGTAATTGAATTTAAAACGTTGAAGATCATCCTAACACGGCAAAATTTTAAATGCTGCGGGCTCAGTTTGCTTAAGCTTATTGACGGAAGACAATATTCAATACAAAAAACCACCAAACCGCGCCTAGAACAGGCACAAGAAAACAAAATTTGTATTTCATATATGATGATGGAGTAAACATTGGCATATGTGTCAACTGTGTTTATCACGGAACATTCAATGTAGCATTTTATGTCTACCAATGAAATGGGGGAAATAAGAATCCCTAAGACGGTAAAACAGAATTTGGTTCTAAAGTTAAACTTTGTGTGCATAATCATTATTTTGAATATATATTTTTTTCGGAAATTGAAGGGAAAAAAATAACAATATATAATAAATGCTATAAAGTAGACATAAAATATTTGATGCTGTATATTATACAAATTGTAATAAATATCCTCCAAACAAGTCTACTTTAGAAAAGATAAATATCAACCTTTCTTTCATGGCGGAGTTTTTGGTGAGAAATAATTCAATCCACGAAAGCATCAGAAAGTTATGTTTCAATATTGTTTTTGTCCAATCACATGTTAGGAAATTAAAAAGCGTCTGTGCACGGGAGTAAACTAAATATGCCCGCTTTGTTTTATTGTTTATTTAATTATAGATAAGTTTACTCTTTGGTTTTGTGAGATATGAGCCACATCACGACAAAACCAATATAATGGGTTTTCGACCAGCATGGATAGACCAGCCTGCGCATCCGCGCAGTCTGATCAGGATCCATGTTGTTCGCTATCAGTTTCTCCACTTGTAATAGAGTTGGTAAGCGAACAGCATTGGTCCTGGTAAAGCATTGGTATTATTTCCACGAACATGGCAGTGTCATTATAAGATATCCCGCTGTCTTGTCAGAAAAATATTTGGTCATTATATAATTATTACAGTGTATTTTAATAATTTCTGTTGCATAAACCTCAGACAAATTTACGTAACGTTCATCCTAAATTCATCTTTATAAATATCTTATATACGTCTGAGGTTTTGTGTTAATTAAAGCTGACATGCAATGCTCATCCACAGCTGCGATTTGTACTTTACGAAGTAAAATATTAGATTGTTATTTTCTTGTGTATTTGAAAAGTTTATCACTGTAATAAAACTATTGTTACAAGAGACAGATACAGCAAAGCTGTATAATAATTTGCATGCTGCACTTATGAGACATTTACTGAGGATGCATTTAGATATGTACAAATTTCCAGATTTGTGAGGCTGAATCAAAGTTTTATACTATTGCTTAATGAAGATACATGAATTTATGTAGAGGGATAGGCAGATAATGAATCGATATTAAGAAAAAGAAAAGCTGTCACAACCATACATCATGACATTTAAATGTTTCTTAAAAAACAACAAACACAAAGAAAATACACGCAGACACGAAAATCAACAAACGTAAGAACTCCCTCTCGCTAAAATCGATGAAACGAAATCACTAAATAACGCCCAAAACGACAAAGTTGAAAATGTTGCAGGTCCAGTTTGATTGATCCTGTTCATTGACTGGGCTAGAAAGTGCAAGTTACGTCCAGGTCCCCTAGCACCGGCTTAAGCAGAATGCAACGAAAAAAAATGAATTGGTAAACTTTTGAATTTTGAACATAAGATTACGCGATAGCAACATTAAAAGCAAGTGACACATTAATATCTAACTAAATACAAGATAAGATCGACAATGCAATTTAGTAAAATATAAATAGTATCTGAGTAACAAATGATCATAAAAAAAATCTCAAAATGAAAAGACATTCGGAAGTCATTCTATTTTTGATATACAAACTATATTTACCAAGCTCTCTGTGCTCAAGTTCTACGCTTGTCATGGGAAGATTACAATATACGTATATATTTCACAAAAAAAAAACGTTGGCTGCACCATATGGAAAAAAAAACATTATAATAGTTTAGATACTAGAAAACTAGACGACTAGCACCTTTAGAAAACATTTTGATCTGACATTTGCGTATCATTGAAACGTAAATAAATTGTTATTTCAGAACAATACTAATGAGATCTGTTTATTGACTAGTCTACAGATACTTTAAAATAGCAAATTTATATTTTACGATCAAAGACGTTTTCGTTAGTAAGTTGTGCGAATCGTAATGCGCTTCCAAAGAAGGAAAGGAGGTAGTTTAATGGTACTCGGATAATTGCTTCAAATTTCAGGTACAAACCAAATAATGAGTAAAAATACAGAATAAATGTTTTGTCAAAGTAAAACGGAGAACGGGTCTGATGAATCAGAGTTGTTTGACCATATCTTCTACATCTGACATAAGATTAATCTCAGCATAATTATAAAAACATTGATGACAATTCCGCCAGCGTTACCCCACCCACTAGTGGCAGCGAAGAAAGTGCGCCGCCACATGATTGTTATGGTAGACAAACAGACAAAGAAGTTTTTTATGATATATTTTAAAGACTTTTGAATATAAAAAAACATCTCAATATATTAGCAAAAAGTTCCAATCTACATTTATTTGTGAAATGCTGTACTTCCTTTTTTTTTGTCCTCGTTCTTTCTCGATGGGAGAACTATTTAAAAATATGTTCAATAGTATTTATGTCGGATTAATATTTGACTTTGTTTGTATTGAATATATCAATGCATTTTGTTCTTTTTGTTTGTATTGAATATATCACAATGCATTTGGTACAACACTGCTATTTCTAAAGAAAGCGTTGTCATTTCCACATAGCCTTGGAAACAACCCATTTACAAAAACCTAACACGTAAACGTATCTTTTTTAATTTTGAATTCACCATAGAATTGTTCTTTATAAAAAATATATAGAAAATTCTATGAAAAAACTTTTTCAATACCTTTTTATTACAGTATTCATGTTTATTTTTCTCAGTTTTTATCGAGTGAAGAAACTGTGAAAAGACAAAATGTTAAGATTATTGTTTGTTTCATACAGCATCAAAAGATTTAAAGTTATTTTTTAATAGAAAGTGTGGCTATTTTGACAGTTTTGAGATATACAGTTACCATAGGAACTTACATTTTATTTTAAAAAAATCATCACGTCAACATGTATTCTAATTTTTGAATTCACCATTAAATTTCACCCTTCATGATAAAAAATTAGAAAATCCTATCAAAGAACCAAATTATACTTAAACTGTAAAAATGTCTTAAAATGCGATGTTAATCTGTTTAATGGTAGTTCTTAAAAAAGAAGAATTCAATTGCAAATTTCTCGTTACATATTCATAAAAATTTATGGAATACAATGTAAATAACGAGATAAAGAAACAAGTGTCATTAGTGATGATTTTCAACACGAAGACTGCAGCTTTGGTGTTAGCGTCACTAAATCAGTTCTGTAATCGAGGTACACCCAGTGGACACACTTGTGTCTTAAGCAAAGAAACAAAAGGATATAACTCGTGATTCATATAAACTGTTGAAATACTTCATATTTATCTCCCTTTCTCCAGCGAAAGTTTAACTTCTTTTTCCGCTTTATTGAAATATCAATACTATACAAAACAGTCTGAACAGTAATAGAAACAAATGTTCTGTAAAGGAGAAGGTGATGCAAATTTATTCGTTCAGATTCAGGAGAAATAACAAAAAACGTAAACATGTCAAAGCCAAATACTTTGTGAATCACGTAACAAAGGTACTACACTGAAGTAGGTGATCGTACAATGTTTCTTAAATGTCTTATATTATATGTAGAAATAGACGAAATAAGAATCCTTAAAGAAAGTCCAAAGCGGCAAAATTGAAAATGTCACAGGCTCGGTTTGATTAAGCCTGTTCATGGACGGTACTGTCAATTGCAAACTACCGTCCACTCCCTATAGCACCGGCTTAAGCAGAACATGAATTGGTAAAATTTTGAATTTAGAAACATCCGCAGATGTGTCTAGCGACGGTTTTCATGGAACCTTTAATGAGACACATGAGTGCAATTGCATGAAAAGCGGCGTATGGTCCCTAAGTTATAAAATGCGTGTGCCAAAAACAATAAATCAATGGGCTTTAATACTTCTCTATCGTGTAGAGTTATATACATGGTATCAAAAGACCTGCAACAATATATTACATTAAAAATGACAAGAAATCGAGGTATTTTTTTTTCTGACACCTGTCTGAATTCCATTGATTTTCATTGTTCAATATACATTCTAAGCTGCTTTATGACCAATCAAATATGTGAGATCTACGCTCAGTTGATCGCCAATCCTCACATGAAAGGTCCAAGTGTCTCTGAAAAAAAGTGGAAAATATTCAATGATACAGATGAGTTTTTTTTTCAACATTGCATGGTACCTACCTTTAAATCATATACACAATAGTTGTAAGATACTATATATAGTATCTAAAAACAGAAACGAACAAATAATATCAATTTTCAACAACAAAAAGCTGTCGCCGTAAAGGGTTACATTATTTAACAGACATTTGGTGCACCATTGTGTGCCCTACGTGTAAAATGAACATATCTTGTTTTTGTTTGGTGACATAAAATGTAAAAATAAGATGAGAATAAGGCCGCATTTCTCTTGCGATTTTAAATTAATGATTCAGTCAAATTTTCCAGTGAGTAAAGATAGAGTAACGTTCAGTAAACATTTTCAAAGATCTTGTAAATAATTGTAATATGTTACAACACTTAAGTGAAATTTTATGTACAAGTATGTATATAATCATTCTTCTAAAACAATTTCCAAATATCCAAGAATATAATATGTTAAATATGTACTGCAAATGTTTATACGCATTATCAGTAATCATTAAATATATGCATTCATTTCTTATTGAAAAATTTTGCTTAGACTTTTAATATCCAAAATAATTTTCTACTTACCTCCCTTTATTTACAAGAAATGTAAATTCGGTAATATCTTTACGAATAATGCTTTTTGAAACTTACAATATTGATACATCTTCATTTGAGCATCGTATTGATGATATAATTCCATAAATATTGAGGTACAGGATCTCTAAATATATTTGTACAAAATTGTTTACGAGGCCATATTAACAAAGTCATTAACGGAGATCATATTTACATATAAATGTTCCATCATTTGTGCTAGTTCTTTTATTGTTAATAACATATGACTGTACTTTTACAAATACGAGGCATCATTTGTCGGGTGTTTTGAAACATTTTTAAACGTAAGACGACTGTGCCACTAAGAAGAAAAACTAAGAAAAAAAATAAAAAAGTAACATAAACATAAAGGAAACCAAAATTACTCACAATATAAATTAAAGATATACTATGATTAAATTTGACATTAGAAAATACTAATAATTGCTACGTAGTCTCTTTGTATAAAATAAAATAAACATGTTTTGACATCACATAAAGTAGATATGTTATTTTTATCATTCTACACACAATATGAATATATAGTGTCATTAAAAACAGGCATTTTTTTTGAAAAAGAAAAGACAAACTTTCCTTGACCTGAAATAGGGAACGCAGCTTCCCAAACATAGCTTTCATTTTTTTAATTCTAATAACATATATTCAGAAATTTCTGTGATTGAAATATTTTACTCAAGGATGAGCATAGTATATCATTAAGAAAGAACGTTTACAACTAGAATAAGTCAGGATATCTAGATTTCGGACAAAATCATGGGATTGACAACTTCTCTTTAATCTATGAGAGACGAAGACCGAAAATCACGTATTATAAGAATGTAAAATATCACGAACCTAGATCATGATCATAGCACTTTTCTGCCAATGCGGTTCTTTGGCTTCCACAGAGCAATTTTCAGTCATTGCGTTTCTTTGGCTTCAAGACAGCATTTCTTAGAGTAAGATAATTAAAGAATATTGATTGATGATGTAAAACTTTAAAGTTTCATTGAGAGGCTTACTGGATATGTATACATATCCATTTATGTTGTTAGACTTAACATAACTTTTAACTTTCAATCTGCTTAATTTTGTCAAACACTCTATTTAGGAGTGAATATTGTCATTTATGGAATATCAAGATAAGAATTTAAAGTAAGTCAGTCAACAGTGTATAGTATGGTCTATGTTGGTGTGATAAACTATGTCATACTTTTCGCATGGCAGTAAGTCTTTACTGCCAACGTTATAACAACTTATTAGCGATGAATATGTACGTGTATGTTCGTGACAAATAAAACATGATTCTTCATAGTCAGACTATATGGATGTCCCGGCTCCTAACTGGTGGCGTTGACTTGTCACAGTGTTGTTAAATTAATAACCATATTTTAAACAATACACCATTTGCATGTTTACAAAAGTGTTATAGCATTGCAAGTAATGGTGGTTTATTTACAGATCACGATTCTAAACATACTTCTTAATGACGACATTATTATGCCATAACCGCCACTAAAAGATTATTTCAGGAAAAGATAGCATGCACACATCCTTTCTAAAAATGAACACTGGATCTGTGGTTTAGGAGGATATCTGGAATGCTTTTAACAAAATCAGCATCGAAAACACATACCATGTCTTATTTTCCTATAACATAAATAAGAAAGTTGTAGGCTTAAAACTGGTTCTTCCGTTGCATAATCAATGATGAATACTAGAGTGTAACCTATATACAATAAACCTTGAATACCCTATAAATGGTGAACTTTCGCGTGTAAGGACGCATCAGAGAATGTTAAATCAATTAAACAAATAAAATAAATATTCAGGATACATGCATTCAATTCCCATTTCACAAACAGTCGTTTTTTATTCTGAAATGTCACTCACTGACATTTCAGTCCATTTAATTAAAGACATGCTTTGCATAATTATATCCAGTTGCAGAAAAAAAAAAAAAAAAAAAAAAAAAAAAACTTAAAATTGTTAAACGAAATTTAACTTAACAATTTTGTCTGATTATTATCTACACTGTTTGCTATTATGTAAGTATTTATTTTTAATATATTTTTGTGCTAAATATAAATGTTTGCTTATAACTTTTTAATGCTCATTTTAAAAAAAGAGATTCAATGAAATAATCGAGAAAGACACACAAAAAAATAACCTGCTTACCATTAAATTGTTGTAAATTTTTCGGGTTAAAAATGAATAAAATTCATGTTTTAAAATCTATAAGATAAGAAGTGTTGCACGCCTTTTGCTGTTTTTTGTTATAGCATATGGAAAAAAGATAAAAAGGAAAAGAACAGAATCCCTAAAGAACGCCCAAACCGACAATATTGTAAATGTTGCTGGCTCAGTTTGGTTGAGCCTGTTCATGTACAGTACTGGAAAGTTCAAGTTACTGTCCACGCCACGCTGGCATCGACTTAAGCAGAATTCAACATGTAAACACGAAAAAAAAAATTGTGTAATTTCGAATTTAGAAACAAACGCAAATGTTTCGATACGACGGTAATCATGGAAACTTCAACATGACACGTTAGTACCATTCAGTGATAAGTGGCGTATGATTCCCAGTTAAAACAATGCGTGTGAACTTGAAATTGAAATTAATAAATATGAAGAAATTATTCATATGATTAAAATGATAAATTTTGTATATGCATTGTAAACTGAAAACCTAATTCAAGCAAACTATTAAGTAGATTTATCTTCTTTTGAGAAATAAATCCCGTTTAATTTTTGACGGGTGCATATGTGTAATTGCCTCAAAACCCATCCGTGTGAAACGGTAAAACATTCCGATAAAACTGGTTTTCGTAAGTTTACAAAGCACGAGTTTTTCGTGCGTACATTGTAAAGGCTGCGCATTTAAAGTTTAAAATTTGACGTGGAAACATCGCTTATTAAAACTGCTGTAGGTATTTGAAATGCTTCAAAAGTTCAACACAGCTGGTTTCAAGTGTTCACCAATTCGTCTTTCAGATAATATTACTGATACAGACTGGTGTGTGCAGCTATGTCTTTAGACATATAGACGAACACGTGAAAACTCGAATCGTGCTGTAATACTTCCAGAGCAAAGGTATATCAAGGAAGGAACCGGTTGATGTTATGGGCTGATGGATAGCGGCATGGCATGGTTCAATGTGCTGATGGGAAATGACTCCTTAATTCACGCTATTCATGTAAAAGGTAATTACTTGCATTGATCTTTAAGGTAACTTGACCAAAACAAAATGGCTGCTGTGTAAAAAAAATTGTTATTCACTTTTTTCTTCCTGGTTTCTTTGAGATAAAAAACTCAACTTTTTTAACCTATTAAATGTAACAAGTACATTGTACAGCATTTGTAAGGAAAAAATAAAATAATAAAAATATAAATGTTTTGAAGTTTTACCTTGTACAAGAAGTGTCTTTTTTATGCCAATTTCCTGAAGTTGTCAATCCAAAAATTAAGATTTAAAAACACTGGTTTTTATCTATAACATCTTCCTTAGATGCTCCACCAAAAAAATATTGTTCAAAGTTGTTTAAAGTATGTAAAAAGTTCACTGTTTTGAAGTCACTGTTTTAAAAAATTTCAGTACACTATTACATAATCAGCTGTCAAAATAAAGTAGTCCATGATAAAAAGTATGGTGGGTAAATATGAACATCATACTGTTATAATCTGTTATCTGGTTTGCTGAAAATGATAAATTGAAATAAATAGGGTTTCCTTTTATCAATTCAATATCAATGATTTACTGACAATAGATGATATAAAATTGTATATTATTCAATTACATCTTTAATGTTTAGACTATTAAATATGCACTTTTAAAAATCAAAATGAAAAGTTATAATATGTAATATAAATTTGTAAGACTGAATAATGAAAAGAAATGAATAATGTAGTTTATTGTCTGTAACTTTTTCATATTATCTATTATTAGAGGGGGGGAGCGGTGGCCTTAGTGGTTAAGCCTTAACTTAAGGTGTCTGGCTCTCAACACAGAGATAATGGGTTCGAGCCCTACTCGGTCACAACCATGTTTTTCATATACACCAGTATAATGAAATCAACTTATGTTATTATTTAATCTCTTATTTATGTATTGTATTTTATAAATTGTTTTGTACATTATTGAGGCTCATAGGGAACACTGGGCTTGCCCCAACTGTTTTTGGCCTCATTAAATAAAGTCGTTACTTACTTAGCTTTCCAGTTTTTTTTTTTTTTTTTTTTTTTTTTTTTTTTTTAAAATATTTTTTTTTTTTTTTTTTTTTTTTGTTTTTTTTTTTTTTTTTTTTTTCTAGGTTCAAGGGAACAAACTCAAAGTGATTAAAACAAAGTTGCCCAATGAAACTTTTTTTCGCAATATCAAGCTGAAATAAAATGTTTAAACCCAACTTGTCAAACTGAAATTATGGATATATTGAATTGTTATTACATAAAAAGATTTTTTTGACCTAAACAATTTTCATTCTACAGGCATGAAAAAAACTTTAACAAATTATACTTTAATACCGTTAGCAATAGAATAGGCTCGGAAAGGAAATTCAATTTGATTCCTATGTTTAAAAGGTAAAACTGGAGAAAGTTTTTTGTTTGTCAGGGGAGATATTTTAGGTTTGTATAAAGTGAACAAAAGCAATAGGGCAAAATACATACAGAAATTTTCCAAAGAAAACCCTCATAAATCATCAAAATCGCAAATTCCCCTCCTCATAATCTTTATACAGTTCTTCTACATCATAAATGTCATTTTCATTTTTATACTGCACTTGGTAAACAGCATTTTTATTTCCATCTTTCCCTCTGGAGACACCAATAACAATTCCTGAGTACCACTCTTCTTGACCTACATCAGTTTCCCATTTATGAAGAATTCTTCTACCAACAAATTTCATACAAGTTGAACGCCTTGATCTGCTATATCTGTTAAATTATTGACAGTAAATATAAAAAGTTAAAAAAATGTTATTTTGATTTAAATTTTATGCATTGCTACAATGATTTCACAATGGTACATGAACAATATTTATCTTTATTACATACTTATAAACGAGATATTGATAAATAATGATAGAATAAAATGCGCATTTTCATTTTCCGTATGATAATTTATATCTCACACATTTTCAGTATTTTCACTGGTGTCTTGCCGATTAATTTTTTGGAAATTCTGCAATTACAATTATTTTCTTGCATAGCAGACTGGCGTTTCCTTGAGTTTTACCTATCCCGGAAATTTCATCTGGCATGGGGGGGTGCCATATGAGTCGCGTGCCAAACAACGTCATTTAAGGGCACTTTAAATTGAAAATTATATAAAAAAATATATAATAAAACAAAAATTCATGTCTTTCCTACAAATACAGAACATATTTTCATCTTGTGGTATGAAAAAATATCATATTTCACTTGTGTGTACGTCACTCATGAAATATTTATTATCATACCACTGGATGAAAATAAAATCCTATAGTTAGAGAAGAAACTGTAATATCTTCTATAATTATTTATAAATTCAATACCTTTGAGGTGATACAGGTTGATTTTCTTTTGTTTTGTAGGACTTTTAACATTTGTTACAGATGAAGAACTTGACTTCTTGACCGTTTTTTTGTCATATAAAGCGTCTGTAGATGTTGATGGCTTAGGTCTGTTGTTTGGAGCTGACGATGATGATGATGATGGCCTAGTATTGCAGTCTGATGGTGAATACTGTAATAGTAGATAAGAGTAATGATTTATATACTCAAATATGAAATGAATTTATAACAAGAGCAAGTAGATTGCAAATATTTTCTTATTTAGAATGTATAATAAGGATATTATTGGCATGATCAAATTAAAAAAAAAAACTTCAGTGGCAAAATGGCAGATTAAACATTTAAATAAAACTTAAATCTGTGTGCCTTGAACAATGAATTCCAATACAAATTAAAAGGTATTTGGCAGTGTGAATTTCAAACAGGCAAATTATATATGAAGGTAATGAACAAATTTCACATTCACTGTTAATTTAAACTACTATGAGACACATATAACTTAAATTTATACATGCTTTCAAATTCTTATAAATTAAAGAAATAATTAACAATAAAATAATAGAAATGCATACCATAAAATTGACAAATGACATAAATAAATTATATTATAATTATGTGAATAAACATTATTTGATTGGGGTCACAATGCGATATAATGGCAGTTGTAAGAAAATACATACAGAAAAAAAAGAAGAAGAAATATACAATCAATTTTTTTTTTAAATAATGAAATAAATTAATGAATATGTTACACACCCATGGGATTGATGGTTTTCTTATACCAGAAACACTTCTATATCTTGGTACAGCTATTTCTGGAAGTACATGAGTCCAATAAAATGCTTTCAACGTTGGAACCATTTTTATTTTCAAATCTTGATCTCTGAAAATTTTTTAAAATATAAAAAAATCAAAAGGGGGTTGGGAAACCCCTTTAATATGGGTCACCCCAAATCTTTTCCCCAAAATATTTAATTGTCCTTTTGTTTTGGGTAGTAAAAATTTAGGGTTAACTTTAGAGCAAGGGATTTCCCAAAGATTTTATTCCAAAAAAAAAAAACAAAAATTTTTTTTCCCCCTTTTTTTTGGCACATTTTAAAATTTTTAAAATTTTTGGGGGTTTGCAGGATTTTTGCTTTATTTAAAATAAAATCCTGGGGAAACCTTTTGTTTCTTTTAAATTTCCATCACTAGAAATCCCAAAAAAAGGAAATTTCAATTTAATTAAAAACCTTAAAAAGGGGGCTTTTATTGGGTTTTTTATGTGAGGGTTTTGGTCCTTTAAATTTTTTAAAATTTTATGTTTTCCTTTTTGGTATTTTCTTCCTCCTTTAACCCCTTACGTGTGTATAAATTGCCTCCAAAATTGGAATATAGAAGTCTTTTGGTTAGCATTTCACTGTTGTTATTGACATTTCTGCTCATAACTTCTCCAAATACAGAACTTGTCAAACGCTTTTTCCTTTCACTTTTCCATTTCTCATTATTGGACTGACCTCTTGTCTCCAATTCTATTATGTCTATTTCATTTTCTGTTACTTTTACATTGTCAATGAAGTATTCTTCACACAATTTTTCAAGTTCTTCTGAAGGCAAATCTTGAGTATCCAAAAGAACGTTTTTTTCCATAAGATTGTTTTTGCTTTTTTGTTTTTATTTTGTTTAGAAAAATTCATTTTTCTTTTATAGCGATTTAATTTAGTTTCAGGTTTTCGTTGCCTTTTTACAGTTCTAACATAATGTTTTGCTCTTTGTCTGTAGGTTTCCATGAAAACTTGATCGGGCCCAATCCTTTTATTTTAAGTAAACCTTTTTTTTTGGGCCCAACGGGCCTTTTGACCTTTGTCCCCCTCCTTTGGGAGGGGGCATAAAATGAGCCCTAAAAGGCAACCCGGTTTGGAAATCTTTAAACCAAACCCAATTTTACCCCCCGGGTTTATCCACTTTCGCAAAATTAAACTTTGAAATTGGTTATTAGAGATTGTTTTTAAGGGGGGCCATCCTTAATTTAAGATAGGAAAAAATTTTTCCAAAAGATCGGGGTTTAAGCCTCATTTTTTGAAAAACCCAAACCATTTTTTTTTAATACATTTTTTCCTTTCTAAAAATTTTTTACTTTTTAAACCAACTTTTCAATGCACCTTTAAACAGGCAACCCAACCTCATAAATTTAAATATTTTTGGGGTTTTCATATAAAACCAAATTTTAACACTTTTGGGACTGGGGGATGCTTTTGAAAATTTTTACAAAATTCGAAACTGCGCTTCCTTAGTACAAAAGGGGTTTTTTTTCCACAAAATTTTTTAAAAACACACAAATTTTTTTTCGCTAAAGGGGAAAATTTTCTTTTCCTTACCCTCATGCGTAGGCACTTTCCACACGGAACAATTTTTTTCCTTGACGTGAAATGGGGAAACCTACCTTTTTTTTAATAGTGGGTTTTTTCAACCCCCAATTTTTTTAAAAATAGTCCTGAAACATTTGCAACAATTTTGGGGCCAATTTAAAAATTTTTTGAACATAGGGAAACCCCAGCCAGACTTTTTGTTTTAAAGGGCTTGAATCACTGACATCCCCCTCTGCATGACTTTCATGTATCTGCCCCAAAGTATTTTTTACAATTTCGAAAAAAATTTTCCAAAAAATATCATTCCTTTGACTGTGGGGGAACATTCCATTTTTAAAACATGTAGGGCCTCGAGTGATTTCATTTTTGTTTTGACCCAGCACTACAAATGTAGCAAATTTTATTAAAAAAACCCAATTTTAATTTTTTTGGATTTATAAAACCAAAAGCAGGGGGCAACCCCTTCCAGGGCTTTTGTATGTGTTTTTATGAGAAGTTTTGCACCAACACCATAAACTACAATGCAAGGGATGGGACCCCCTTGTTTTAAAATTTCCTTTTCTTGTAGGGGCATTTTCTCTTTTTTTCATTCCTAAAGTTTCAATCACCTTTTAAAAATTTCCTTCCCCCCCTCCTTCCCTTTTCAATTTTTGGTAAAAAAGTTTTGGTAAAGCGGGAAAACCATAGTAAAGACTTCATTAAATCAAAGCATCCAAAACCCTGTTCCCAAAACCGCCCCATAACCTTTTGCCATTAAAAAAGGAAACGGGAAACACCTTTACATAAACAAATTTTAAACCTTTTGAAACAAAATTTTCCAAAATATCACACCCCTCAAACTTTTCTTTTAAAAAAATATTTTGCCAAACCAAATCTTTTTCAAAGACCAAAAAATGGGATAAACCCCTTTTAAAAAGGGGCCCAAATCTTTTGGTTTTTTAAACACAGTCGAATCATTTTTACTCCCCCATGTTTTTTAACCATTAAAGGGCGTTTTCCCGGAAAATCAAATTTCACAGAAAAAAAAATTTTAATTAATTAAAAATTTCTTTTTAAAAAAAGTTTTGGCCGGAAACGGGGAAATAAATTTTAAGGTAAATTTTTTTTTCTTAACACCATAAGCAAAGGGGCCTTTGTTTTAAATATTTTTAATTTTGCCTCTAATTTTTTTAGCAAAAGGGTTCTTTCTTTTTTCCCATAAAAGTAAAATTTTTCCCCCTTTAACCAAATTTTGATTTTTCTTTTAAAATCTCTTATTACCCATTGCAAACACTTCACAATAAATCCAAATCTATATATTAATATATGAAAACACTGACTAAAATAATCCAAAACTTATAATAATAAATGTCAAATTTGCACCTTCTTTTACACCATACTTCACTAATTTGCAAAAGTAAGCCATGTGTTTCAATAACAAAAACAACTATTTAAGTTTTTTTAACTTTTATTTATATACTATTTACAAATCTATATATATGGATTCCCTATGTAATGAAGTTCAAAACATACAATATAATGCTGAAATTAAAGATTTAAAAAAAAAAATGTAAACAAACCTTTCGTCAATTGTTGACAAAAATGTTATCGACTACTAGAATGCAAATCGGTAAATACACGATTTGCACAGTAATATCTCATAGTGACCCCAATCGTACATGATCATATTATCAATATTCATGTCAGTTATCAAAAAATACTAAAAATGTACGTGATCATGAGTAAATATCCATACCTTTATGTAAAATTCAATACAAAACAAAATTCTCTGCCATCATTCTAGCCGCCATTACTGCTACCGTTTTTATCCTATCTTTATCAAATGGAGAACGGGTACCAATTCTGTACTTGATTTCCGGAAAATAAATAACCTCTATTGCCAGAAAATATAAAAATAAGTTCCTTTCAAAGTAAACCGAAATGTAAACTTTTTTATTGCAACATGTAGCATTTCAATCAATTAACGTTAATATGTTAAAACTAATATTTAATATTTTCAAAAGTCACGATCTTTTCTGTAAAAACTTTTGTTGCGGATTTAATTTGTTCCCGGTAATTTTTGGCCGAATGCATAAAGGGGAACCAACAACGTAAACAAAATGAAGTGATTATTTATGTGCAGTAAAATCACAGAAATGTGCTATAATTCAAAGCAGTTATTAGTCAATACATTGAGGAAGGTAATATTTACAGTTTAGTTGCAAAAGATAAAACGATCCCTGCAAATGACGACATCTATCTTACGTTTAATTTCATAAACAAAACCGGTTTCCATACTGAAAAAATACAAAATGGCGTCCAAAATTTTTCAAGTGGCATAATGCTGGAGGATAAAGCATTTATTTAATTGTTAATTTCAATTTGTAAACAAGTGGAGCACTTAAACAGCATAATTGTTTGACCAATTCTTGTGCTAAACTTATTTTACAAAGTAATATAACTTGAAAAAAAAGACATAAAAAACGGGGTGAATATTCGATTTTTATTTCTCATAAACTTCAAAACGTTACTAACTTCTGTCTCTGGAAATGGTTTAACATTGAACTAGTACTGTTTTGCATCAAAATATTTAATAATGAGATTCAATGATGGCTAATTTCTGATATTTTAATGTTTGAATTTTTTGTGGTGTAAAATGTCAAGGTCAGCAATGTCTGTCAGACAAGTTACCTTAATATTAACTTGATTTGTTGGATAGATTATCAAGTAGAAATATTTCTTTCATGCACGAGATGTATAGTAATTGAGTCTGAAGTTGGCAGCCTAGCGGCCCAGTGGCCTAGTAGCGGCTCAGCGGCCTGGCGGCGTGAAGTTGGCGGTCCAGTGGCCTGAACTTAGTGTTGTAGAAGTTTGTCGACTCATAGTTAATTTTGAAGTCATTTTAAAGTTACATAAAAGAAAGAAAGGAAAAATGCATATTCATAAAGAATAGCCTGGCAACCTAAAATTTTACAGTTGTAGAAATTTTATAAAAACAATAAAACCGGCACATTGTGAAGTTCTTTTGACAATTCTTGATATTAAAGCAGCGCGCCTCCAAATTCACGCTAATTTTTCATGATTTTTTTAAATGTATTTGAATGTATAATATTGCGAAATAACCAAAAGGAAGCAATTTGCACATTATCAATAGCATCTACAACCCACGCAAATTACCAAAAAGTTGTCAAAATATGCATAAATAGTCCTTACTGCATTAGAACATGTAACGCAGTAGAAATGTAGTTGTAAATATTGGAAAATCAGTAATTAATCGCACATTACATGTAAATTATTACTTGAATCCTGAATCATTCTACTTTTCCTAAAATCATAGTACAGTATTTCTCAAGTTAGATTTTATTGAAATATTTTGACTCATCTGGAGGCATGCAGCTTTAAAAAAAAAAAAAAAAAAAAAAAAAAAAAAAAAAAAAATAATATATATATAATATATATATATATATAAATATATATATATATATATATATATATATATATATATATATATATATATATATATTATATATACATATATATATATATATACCTAGCGGCCTATCGGACTAAACTTTGATAGTCCACTCAAGCTAATTTGTTGTTTCTTATATGACTTTCCTCCTATTTTAACATCCGTACGACAAGTTTTTTTTTCGTGTTTAACATTGTCAAATTCTAAACATTGATTAAATATGCCGTTTTAATTAGTTATAATCCAAAGTTTCTCTAAAGTATTTAAATTGATTGATAATGTTAACGAATTAAAGAGAAGTTGAAATTGTCGATCATATTTGTTAATGAATTAAGCAATACATAATAAACAAGGGCCAATTGTCATTAAATAATAAGAAATTGAAACTTCTACTTCCTTCAATATATGTATATAAAAGATAAAGGATTCGAACCGACGCCCTTGTTTGCAGTGTCTTTGGTCTGTTTAAAGGCACCTCAGTTTTCCACGTTTTGCGGGAAGTGACCTGATTTAAAGTGCTACGTTGTGTTTGTCAAGTTTTGTTTGTTTCCCTTTAGAAATCTTTTGCTAATAGTCTCTTTATCCAAGTTACTTCATTTTATTTTCCGTTTGATCGTCTTACAGCCTATGTATTTTGATGACCAAAACCGTTTTATTTGAAAAGGTCAATGGTTCTACCAAGCAATTTTTTTTTTTTTTTTTTTTTCCACAGATAATTGTCCCCAAACATATGCTGTATTGTGCGACTGCATAGCATCAATCGGCATGCTACAACGCATGCATATCGTTTCATTTAGTAATTTTGTATTGAGGGAAAGGCGGCATAAGAAATTGAGATTTAAGTCTGTCACATAGCATTCAATGCCCGGTCGTGAGCATAAAAAAAAAAAAAAAAAAGTCTGAAACAGCATTTGCATATTTCTAAATTAAAGAAAATACGATATCGCCGCGATAAAGTTATGCTCACATTTCCTAGGTTAACCGTTTGTAACAGCACCTTGCGTTCTGCGGTTATCTCTTATATTGGTGTTAATGGGCGTGCGCCCTTAACCGTTAGAGGGGGCCTGTGACCATGCGGTCGGCCAGTAAGCCATGTCCATAAATTTGTCTGTGTCTTATTTGGACAGGGTTGCAAAAAATCAACTTGCCGGCCGACGCCTTTAAGTGGCTAGTCGAAAGTTGAAGGAGCAGCATTTGATATGTACGTGTAGGTCCGTACATATCGCTTTCGCCGCGTTGTCTTTGCTACATACCTCTAACACACGGCTTTGTTGAAACAGACATGTAAGTCCCCCTGTCTTTCCGGTCCGATGCTCAGCTCAGACTCTTTTGTGGATGGCGTTTAAAATATATGTATTGTAGTAATATGTACTACACACCTTCTCCCCTTTTTGTTTCTCTTTGGTTGTTTGAGCAATTTTTATTTATTTATTTTTTGATTTTTTTTTCTTGACATGCAAAATGTTTATCTCGTACTTGTTCCGCCTTTCCTTCAGTATAGATGATAATGTACTTCTCTCGCTTTTCCTTCATTTTCACTGATGCATATTTCAGGGTAGTCGAGATCAGACTGGTATCCAATAAGCATTTTACCATTTCAGCGCAGGAGTTATGAAAATAATTAATAAATAACTACTTAGGAAAACCCAAGGCATCAACTGTATCAAATCTTTACATTTTCCTTTCGCAAATACGTGCATTCACTATGAAAATCATTAGTGGCGAATTTCATTTCTTGAAATATTAAGTGGCCCTCAACACACAAAATGTGCATTTCGGTATTTGATAAAAATGTTGTCGTCAAGAAATATCTCATTGATAAGAGATTTAATGGGAGCAATTTGCCCCGATTTCTCTTTAGCTTTGTTATTGTTTTACTCTTGTAAAATGCCACGCCGCTTTATATTCTTAATCGTTGACCTCTTTGCGGCAAGTCCAAGCAGAGTTTAGCATTTTCAGAGCTTATTATCATAGTTTTACAGCACTTTGCGTTGCTATGTAGCTTTCCATGCATTTAGCTGGGAGCTGTCTTTCATATTTTTTCTCATTCATTTCATATTTTTTGACGATGATATTTGTTTTCACCAGAAAGCACAATAAAGTCACGGCCTTATTCCAATCATTCTGTGTTCTGTTATTTTATTCACAATTGACTATTTATAAAACAGTTATGTTTTCTTCTGGGAAATATAACTATTTGTATTAGAAGTGTTGCGCAGTTCCAGACGGTGCTATATCTGCAATGTAAAGATATGTGCATGATGATCTTTGGTTCTATCGTTTTAATAGCTTAGAAATGCTACTATTGGTTCTACATTCATACGTATCTGCTATATATGGTTTTGTTCATTTATAAAGAAATTGCGTCATCTTAGACCCCATATCTTTCAACGAAAGATATCTCAGCAATAACTAAAGTTCAGTCTGCTTTCGAACCTTGTCGCTGGAAAGCTACTTAGTAGTAAGAATACCCGTTAATAAATTAAGTAGATTTATCTTCTTTTGAGAAATAAATCCCGTTTAATTTTTGACGGGTGCATATGTGTAATTGCCTCAAAACCCATCCGTGTGAAACGGTAAAACATTCCGATAAAACTGGTTTTCGTAAGTTTACAAAGCACGAGTTTTTCGTGCGTACATTGTAAAGGCTGCGCATTTAAAGTTTAAAATTTGACGTGGAAACATTGCTTATTAAAATCCCACCCTCCCTTCCCATGTGTTATTTGTATTTCAATTTTACATAAACATGTTCTGCTGCCGAGTGTTTATATTTTTCAGCTTGAATCCAGCCGGTTTTTCATTACTTCCCGTTCAGCCATGCCATGCCGCTCCATCGACACGTGTGCTTGAATTTGATGTCCAGTAATTACAGTCTACAGAAAACATTTTATCCCACGTATTTAGTGTTTGAAATGTGTTGACACTCAAAAGTAATAATTGGATGCTCTACGTCTGATTACAACAAACTTTGTTGTAGAAATAAACAGTTGTAATTTGGAACATTACTCGATACTTAAAAATAATTTATTAAAATATTTATTAGTATTAACAATAATTAATTGAGCTAAATGATTAAAATGGTGCCTTTTTATATATTCTAATGCTTAAATGAATTTGCAAGGATGCGACCCCGACATTTTTGTGGTATGACATTGACAAACGGGTACAGGTTTCCTATTTTTCCCACTGGGTTTTATTTGGTTTTTCCTGGGCGAGTCGACCACAATTTGCAAGTTTCATGGTATAGGAAATCAAAATGTTTTTATTTTACTGTTTTCACATACCTAACTTTATTGATCATATCTGAAAACTAGAATATATCTTTCATAATGCAAATACGTTTGTATACTAGTAATTGATACATTAGTGTGTTAAATCCAGTCGTGACTTTATATAGTATTACTGTAACTTCTCTAAGTCAAATTATATTCAAGACTTTTCATTATCATTGCGAATATCTCATTGATAAGAGATTTAATGGGAGCAATTTGCCCCGATTTCTCTTTAGCTTTGTTATTGTTTTTACTCTTGTAAAATGCCACGCCGCTTTATATTCTTAATCGTTGACCTCTTTGCGGCAAGTCCAAGCAGAGTTTAGCATTTTCAGAGCTTATTATCATAGTTTACAGCACTTTGCGTTGCTATGTAGCTTTCCATGCATTTAGCTGGGAGCTGTCTTTCATATTTTTCTCATTCATTTCATATTTTTTGACGATGATATTTGTTTTCACCAAAAAGCACAATAAAGTCACGGCCTTATTCCAATCATTCTGTGTTCTGTTATTTTATTCACAATTGACTATTTATAAAACAGTTATGTTTTCTTCTGGGAAATATTACTATTTGTATTAGAAGTGTTGCGCAGTTCCAGACGGTGCTATATCTGCAATGTAAAGATATGTGCATGATGATCTTTGGTTCTATCGTTTTAATAGCTTAGAAATGCTACTATTGGTTCTACATTCATACGTATCTGCTATATATGGTTTTGTTCATTTATAAAGAAATTGCGTCATCTTAGACCCCATATCTTTCAACGAAAGATATCTCAGCAATAACTAAAGTTCAGTCTGCTTTCGAACCTTGTCGCTGGAAAGCTACTTAGTAGTAAGAATACCCGTTAATAAATTAAGTAAAATGAATAATGATTTATACAGTAAACTGTTATTTAACAAATCATAGAAACATTTTGTTGTGAAGTAAAAAATAAGTTCTAAAAATCAATTATTTGCCATTTTAATTCGTTAAATACTTATAAGGATAGATTTTAAACTATAGTTTTATTCTTTTTATAATCTTGTAAGTTAAGAACATTGCCTATATGTCATTGTATTCGTATTGATCACATCATCATGAAATAAGAGATATATAGAGGATATTTGTTTGTTTTGCATGTAAGATTGAAATATAATTTCACTGAGTGAACACCTGATGCAATATTTTCACGAATTGCGTAGCCACGAGTGAAAATATAATAGCTTGTGTTCACGAATTAAATATATTTCAATCTTATATGTAAAACAAATAAATTTTCTTTTTATTTCATGCTTTTTAAGTGATTTTAAGTATTTTTTACTGATTTTGCCGCGCAACGTTGAGCATTCTCCATTGAGACGTCATCACATCATGACGTCACATCATCAATTTTGAAATATAGTTCTGTTAAATTTCTCTAATTTTGTTACATTTTTAACATGATGTATGGTGACATCGACTTTCTTTTCCTATAGAAGCAAAAGTTACGTATGATGGCACTTATTTCTGCCTGTTATTCCATTTAGTTTAATTTTCTTTTCATCCGCATTCAGATATAGTCCGGCTACAGTGAAAATTATATTTTATAAATTTCACTAGTGGTTTATCAGAATATAAATATCTGATATATTACAATAAAACACTGAAAAGCATGAAATAAATGACAATAGTTTCATAAACAGTATTTTGGATGAGGATAGAAAAGGTCCTATATATTGCATTACATCAACACACAAAATAGTATTGCGTTACGTTTAGAATGGAAGACCTACGCACTCATATACTATCTTCCCAAAATATATAACCTGGTGGAGTCGTTCGTATGTTTACCTGTTGAGACTATAAATAAACATACAGGACAAGAGACAATGGTTCTAACATTGTATAAATAAATATCATTCTCACAAAAAAGAGTATTTAAGTAGCATATGTTAAGTGCATCTTCATATTTGTACATTAAATATGAAGAAAGTGTTGATGTTGGATGTTTTTATTTGTTAATTATTCGGTTAATGTATCTAGCTTTTTATATCTAATATTTCAGTTTATGATTGCTTTTAACTGTAATATGCAATGTTTGAAATAGTAAGCGTGATACAAGCAATTTAATGTCACTCAGAGAATAGTTTTGCTTCAATTCACAAACACACAAATACTTTGCTTTTAATTTAATGATTGTATTTTTATCCAACAAGGCCATTAATGATGCACACCCTTTTAACCAATATCTCCTTAGTACTTAATATAATTCATCAATGATTTAGTGGATGTATTGCCGGAATAAAGTTTGCTTTTGGGACCTTTGTTTATCTTATCTCTTGCTTCCAGTTTCTATGGTGGATTATATGTGCCATTCTCAATTAACCATTAACTTGCAGAATATGTTTAATGGACTTTCCCTGCATTGAATTTGGAGTAGTCCATCAGCAGCTTGACGGGGTGTCAATATCAAAATACAGTGAAAAACCTAAGACCACCAAAAGGACAGGACTAAAGTTGTCTTCATTGCGGAGCGGTCCTAATTGTGGATATTTTTATCAAAGCATATATTTAATTACCACTGTATCTAAATAATTATGTATAAACATATTTATACAATAATATAATACTCTAATTTGATGTTATAATTAGAACATAAGTCTGAAGAAATTTGATATTAAAAATTAAATTTTTAAAGGTCTTGTTTCATGTACATAATTCACCTTTCAAATAAGAAAATTATTTTTGCTAAAAATAAATGTGCAGGAAGTAACATGTAACCACTCTGAAGTTTATTTTCTCATCTAACTTAATACAATTTTCCATTCATAACAGTTTTAACATATTGTTTCATTAAGTATCATGCTTAAGAGCATTCAAGCCGATAAATAACAACAAACTTGTGATCTGAGTAGGTGTTGACTACATTATCAATTTCAATTCAATTATTCATTCATCATTTTCACAAGTACATGTTCGTCGCCTTTAACATGATGGCGACAGTTACAATATTTGAGATGAGCATGGAAATATATAAACATTTAACTATGTAGAATTCATCGTCGGAACTCACGGTACACATTCCGTATATAATTCAAATAGCAGGGGTAACCTTACGAATGTCAGTGGAGGCGTCCGTGGCCTAGTGGTTTAGGTCGTTGACTTCAAACCACTTGCCCCTCACCACTGTGGGTTCGAATCCCGTAAGGGACTTTGGATTCTTTCATGTGAGGAAGCTATCCAGCTAGCTTACGGAACGTCGGTGGTTCTACTCAGGTGCCCGTTCGTGCCTGAAATAATGCACGGAGGGGCACCTGAGGTCTCCCTCCACCAGTAAAGCTGGAACGTCGCGATATGACCTATACTGTGTCGATGTGACGTTAAACCCCAAAAACAAAACAAAACGAATGTCAGTGGTCTTAAAAATGGGGTAAAATAAAGAATATAACAGTGAATTAGGACTGAAACTGGTGATTTTAAAAGTGGATTAGTTGTTGGTATTAATTTTGGACAGTGTTACCATTAACATAAAGAACAGGCAATTCCGTTCCTTTAAAATAGGTCTTAAAATTAGAGGGATGCTCTGGTGTGGTCTAAAGTGGTTTCTACTGTATAATTATACAAAATATACAAAGGTTACAAACATTATAGAATCTCACATATTATAAGGGTTAATTATTCGAGTGGCGGGCGTACAGGCCATGGCTAGTGTTATAACTTTCGTGGTCATCTTTTCGAACATTTCGATTCGAACGAGAATTTTTGTTTTACAAGAAAAAAAGAAACTTGCTGGTGATATATTTGCTAAACTACAGTTTGATCTTAAATTAAAACACTGACATAATATTGTTTTAGACTGTTCTAAAATATTGACAAACTGATGATTGCTCCCTCTCGTTTTTAGTGCGGTGCCTTCTTTCTTAGTACCCTACAAGTCTGACTGGGTTGTTTCTGTGATTGGCGCTGCGTTCTGTGAACGTCACCTTGCCTTGTTGCTCTTTGTTGTCAAGGATGCCGTTCTACTGATGCACACTCGATTGGTTCACATAATTCTCTTAGCGACACGTGGATTTTTCGTCTGTCAGTTTTATCTTTGTGACACCATATCACATAGGGGACTTAAACAGGAACAAAGATACGCTTTATGTAAAAGGTAACAAATGGGAGTTTAAAACACGTGCCTTGAATGTTATAATATTTTAATGATATATGGCATTTGCCAGTCTCTTGTAATAATTGCCACCTTTCTTTAAGAAATTTTATTGCATGTGAGGACATAATAAATTTTAAAGACTTTTAGTTAATTTGAATTTTTGAATTGGAATTGAGAAGATAAAAATCGAGTTATTTTTGTTCAAGGACATACATAATGGAAAATAAAAGGATACAAGGTGTAAGAGGTGAAAACACTATATCACATGTGTTGGTATATGAGCATGTTTATTGATGGAATTGTGTCAAATGTTTGAACTAACTAACTAACTAACTAACTAACTAACTAACTAACTAACTAACTAACTAACTAACTAACTAACTAACTAACTAACTAACTAACTAACTAACTAACTACTTAACTAACTAACTAACTAACTAACTAACTAACTAACTAACTAACTATTATGAACTAAACTAACTAGCTAAAAAATAAATAAATAAATAAACACTGCATTTTCTGCCCTCAAGGTTTTATCACCAGCAATTGAAGACTTTCCAAAACTGAGGTTGCTTGAAATAAGTCTAGTCAACTGCAAACATTTTCAATTATTTTTCATCCCTATTTCCGCTGCGTCCTACTCGTTTTCTAATTGGAGCTAGTCTTGCTGAGTGCCTTTGCAGTATGTTCTTTGCTGGTGGGAGCTGTCGGGGGCTGCGTCCCGTGTACGTACCTCCCCCATTTTGGTACGTGCAACGACGACAGTTCAGAGTATTGCTATGTTTTGAGAGATATTTTTTAATTTGTAGTTGTTGTTTGTAATGGTTGAAGTTTATATATAATCACAGTCAATGTCGTAAATGAGATATATTTTTATACTTAATGATATTTACCATTTTCATTTTTTACACATCACCTCAATGTATTGTTTTCATATTGTATGACAAAAGAAGCTTAATCAGAAAACTCGTGCAACTCAGACTCACATGCATGTCAATCATAGAAAACAAATTTAAGCAACACATTTTGCAAGAATTTGATTTAGATTAGATGCGCCATTCATGGATGTAAAGCAAATGCTGAACTGTTTTGTTGAATGTGTATCGACTTTTACTGTAATACGAATAATGAAAAATTAAATCACAATATTGAAGGTTCATTTTGATTTAAATATAACCTTGTTTTACGCCTCATAATATAATTTGAATAAAATAGAATGTCATTTGATCTCAAAACCCATGCATAAACAAAATAAAGTCGTTAACCTATTATACATAATCTTACATGCTATTGATGTGACAATGATATTTTGCCATTTGCTTTCAAAGAAATCACAATACGTCATTTCATGTAAATATCCAGGAATTCCAAGCGATGCCTT